TCCTTCTACTCCTGAGTGGCACCTGGCACATAAGGAACTCCATGAGGAGCAGAGTGAAGTGAAACCAATGCCCAAAACTCCTGTAGCCTTCAAGCCTCCAGCTGGTGTCCTGGTCTGCTGGCTGCTGCCTCTCTGGGACCAATTCCCCAGGCACTGCCCACTCAGTGAACCTAGCCTTAGGACAGCAAGGCTGAACTGGGGGGGGGGGCACTGTATCTGCTATGAGGGGCCCTGTCACTGGGGTCTGCTCGTGATGCTGGAGGCCTTGCCCTCCCAGCAGGGGCTTGTGCAGGAGCCTGAGCTGGTCTTGGAGGGAGCATGGAGACCTGGCCTGGGCAGCTGAGAAGCCTGCAGGCATGCTTTCATCTCTGCCACTGTCGTCCCCCATTCGTTCCAAGCTGGCCTTTTCCTCAGTGGGCCTTTCCTCTCTCTTGTGGGGATGAGGTGAGAGCCCAGAATGCTGGGCAGGGGCATGAGTGATGAATAGGCCTGGTCCTGGGCTGGCCTGGCCACTAACATGCGGAGACGTGCTGGGAAGGTTCACTGCCTCCCTCCTCTGGGGTTGATCAGCCCTCTGGCCTACACCTGACCTGCCTTTACCAGGCACCTGAGCCATGCAGCATCCCTCCCCCCCGCCCCCCCAACGGCTGTTGCCCTTCCTGACCTACAGCCAGGGCTGATGCCTGCTTCGGCCTCAAGGGTCCCAGCTATCTGGCCACATCCTGGCAGCAAGGACAGTGCAGAGTTTGCTAACAGCCCACCCCTCTTCTCTGGTGTGGCCTGTAGTATCCAGCGAGGGGCACTTGAGGGCAGGGACAAGGTGCCCGAGGCAGGTGGCAGGTTCCCCCTAGGGGAAGCTTTGGGTCAGCTCAGAGCTGAGACCCACATTCAGTGAGGGGGTCAGCATTAACAGGAAGGCTCAGGACTGCATGGTTCCACCATAATCAAGCCTAAGAATGGAGGTGGACAGGCAGGAAGCTGTGCCCCACCCCAGCATGTCCATTACCACTCTCTGACTGGCCAGGGGCTGATCCAGTCCTCTGTGGCGGGCAAGATGGATGTTATAAATGCATCAACATGAGCAAATGCTCAGTGTCATACAAAGCAGTGTGAAGGGCATAAGCCCATAAGTGCACATGCACGCATGTACACACAAGCAGAAGCCTGAGTGCTTTGTAGCAAAGTTCTCAGCCACATCCTATAAGGAAGTTTTGGGAAATGTGTGGGTTGTCTTTATTCTCCACACCTTTTTTGTTTTTTGGAAAGTCAGATTTACAGAGAAAGAGAGACAAAGATCTTCCATCTGTTGGTTCTCTCCCAAAGTGACCACAACGGCTAGAGCTGACCCTGTCTGAAGCCAGGAGCCTCTTGCAGGCTTCCCACGTGGGTGCATGGTCCCAAGGCTTTGGGCCATCCTCAACTGCTTTCCCAGGCCACATGCAGGGAGCTGGATGGGAAGTGCAGCAGCTGGAACACGAACCAGTGCGCATACAGGATGCTGGAAGTTGCAAGGCAAGGATTTAGCCACTAGGTCACTGTGCCAGGCCTCTTTATCTTTTTCTAATACTGATTTTTTTTCTTTACTATATGATCACTACCTGTTTTCTACAGAAAGGAGGCCCAGACTCCAGGGAATTGTCCCCGTTTCATGCCAAATAAATATATCTACTACATGAGCATGCACTCTTCCTGCAGCTGTCTTGGCAGGGCCAGGCCAAGTGGTCTTGTGGGCCCCATGTGGCTTGCAGGCCAGCCACACCTACCCTGGTTTGGGAGTTCACGCTTGTGCCATTGAAAGGTTGGCTTGCAGGTGATCTTGATTCCCACATGTATTCTTTCCTGATTATTTTATGAGAGGTATTACCGCATCATTGGCTTTTTAAAAAGCAAAAATAACTTGTTCTGAGAGGTCAAGCTGTACCCGGTCACTGGGTTGGGACTGGGATCAGGAGCAACGATGTCTCTTCTGGAATTGGGGTAAGGGCTGCTTACATCCCTTACAGATGAGACACCTCCCCCTCTGGCATGTGCACTGCCATTCCCCCTCTGGCAAGAGCTTGCTGAGACCAGCTTCCTAAGCTGTGGGCAGTAGAGCTGGAGGCTAAGAAAGTGAGCGTCCAAGCGAAGGCAGGCCATAAGGAGGGGAAACTGATGCCCTTTGTCTCATTTTTTTCTCAAAAATCAGCTTTGCATAAAAGTCTTATGGGGGTCAACTGTGCCCCCTGCCCCCTTCCTCCAGGGCTGCACTGACTGGCCCAGTAGACGGAGTACAGGGGTCTGCTCTCACTGCATCTGTGAATCCACTGTGCAACTGTGCACCACACGCTCACCCTACTGGAGCTTCTGTCAAATGGGGCTAGGTTGGACTCAACACTCTTCCCACTCCAACACTCCAGGATCCATAGATCCATGCTTGGGGGCCTGGTGGGAGGAGCCAGTATCTGGACAGCCCCAAGCTGCCGCAAGTCAGGCTCAGAGCTCTGTAAGGGGCTAAGTCGCCCTAGCTGGAGCAGCTGGCTTTCATGGTCTGTGGCTCTAGAATGCCAAGGTATAAAGCTGCCAGGTTCTGCCGAGGTGGCTCCTCCCTGGTAGACCTCCACCTGTGCCAGGGGGTAGACAGAACCACAGCCCTGGACCCCCGGAGTGAAGGTCAGACCTAGGTCAACTCCTGCCACGGACAGGAAGACGACAGCTTATTTCCAGGAAAATCTACACAGGTGAGCAGCAGATATGTGGCAGCGGGCCTGGCTGACAGGGAGGTGCTGAGCTGGATTAAACACAGAGGCCCCCTCCCCCAGCAGTTGAAGAGCTAATGTGATTTTTGGCTCTTATCCCTCATTGCAGCAGGGCCTGGGTTTGGGTGAGGATGAGCCAGTATGGAAGATTCTGCAGACTCCAGAAACAGATCTAGAAGGATCTAAAGAAAACCAAGCAAGCTGGGGGTCAGACAGTGGTAAGAGGGGTCGGGCTCCTGGCATTCCTGGGGAGCTCAGCAGAGGGGCCTGTTATGTCTTGCCCTCATGTAGCTGCTGCAGCGGCAGCAGGCAGGACTCAGTGTGGTCTCTACACCGCTGGGCCCTGTTGCAGCAGGGGCCAGAATCTTGGTTAAGCCGAAGTCTCATTAGCTTGGAGAGGCCAGCGTGTCACAGTGCCCTGGGAATAAGTGGTATTTACAAGGGGGTGACGTCGGCAACATAACTGAGGGTGAGAAGCAATCAATGGCAGGGAACTCCACAGCAGTGAGGAGTTAAAACGAGGAGCTGAGCCACGAGGGGGACCGAATCACTCCTTCACTGCTAATAGGATCAACCGGCCTTGTAAATGCAAGCCAGGCCCCAGGGGGCCTGCGTTTGAGGCCACTGTTAAGACGCGTATGAACTGGACAGTGGCTTAGAGACCTGTTCCACCACTGACAGTTTCCAAGGCTCCTGCCCTTCAGAAAAGCTGCTAGAGTTAAGTAATAATTAATCTCCCATTTTTAATTAATCAAAAAGACACAAAGTGCTGCCGGCTGGGACAAGCAAGACAAACACTCGGACTGGTACTGCTCCAGCATCAAACTTGGGACCCGGATCTTGGGTTCTTGGTTCACTGTCCTGGCCCACTAGACTGGCTATCTTGTGTCGTGTACCCTTGGGAAGCAGAGAAACACAGGGGTCAGCTTCTAAATATCTGAGGGAAAAACTCTAAATTCCAGTTGGACTAAGGCCCAGGTTACCCAGTGGGCAATGAGCAGAGCCAAGATGGACCTGGTAGGGAGACAGGCAAGAGGCTACAGCTGCCCTGGACACGCACGGGCAGCAGCAGAGTGGGTTGTGGACATCAGCTGGCACAGGCCTGTTCTCAGAGCACACACTGCTGTGAGGGGTGAAAGGTGGCAGGCCACACACGGCAGCTGTTCCTGTCTAAGCCCTGCATGGCTGCGGGGTGGGGGCCTGGTACCACCCAGAATGCTGATGAGCATGTGCAACCAGGCCCAGGTGCCCAGACCACGGACTCACTGCTTGGTGGGCCTCAGCACCAGTCAACAGCATCTGTACTTCAGCAGTCACCAGTAAGCTGCTGTTCTCACAGCCTGGCAGTGACCACTGTGCACCACCTGACCCCCAGAGAGAAGCTGGGGCCATGGCAGGCCTGCCGCCACCTCCGCTCTGGGTGGACCCACTTATGCTGGACATGGCAGTCAATTGTGCCCCCTGCTGGACACACAGGTGAAGGGAAGTGGTATTTCTCCAGAGCAGGGGGTTACCAAGTCTATTCCTGCTGTAGTATGGAAGCATCACTTCCTGGAATTTGTACTTAAAACAGGCTTCCCAGAAGTTCTACTGAGGGGCTCCAGGATGGACAAAGGCGTGACACAGAATGCTGCTGACTGCCATGAAGACCCAGGGCCCCCTCCTTCCTTGAGGTGCACCCATCTCAGCTGCCTCCCTGGGAACATAATGGGAGACATGTGTGCTCCCCTGGGGAGCAGGTAGCAGGTGGGGGACAACAAACAGCTAAACTGCAGGAATGTCACACAGGGGGATCTGGTGTCAACAGGAAGACTTTAATGTAGGTATGCTTTTAGAAAAACCTCTCCAAGGAAACAAGGATAACCAGCAATCTCGAGAAGGGGTTCTCATTCAGAACCTGCCATGGGCCCCAGGGGAGGCCACACTGCCCAAGTGCCTGCCCAGAAGTGGCGTAGGCATGGCCACGGGCTTCTCAGAAGATCAGAGAACTGCAGCAGGGCCTACAAGGTCGGCTCAGGGTGGAACCCTCCTGTCTGTTGTCTGGTCTTGGGGCCAACAGCAGCAGTCACGGAGGCTTTGGGACACTGGAGAGGGCTACCCAGCTCTACTTTGGGTCTGTGGCCTAAGAGTGAGCCAGGCAGGAGGTGATGGTCCTAGGCAGGGGCCACACGAAGCTGGGGAGATGACACACTGGGACCTGTGGACAGGAGAAAGGGATTTGCAGGAAGAGCGAGCGAGCGAGCTGGCCACCAAAAGTCAGACACAACCCGTCTACCTGACCTTCCCCATCTACCCGTCCCTATCGAGGACTCCAGAGTCCCGAGCCACATTTTCTATCATGTGCTCCCCTCAACAGGGAGCAGGTGGACTCCAGCTCATCTCCTCATGTGATGTCAAAAAAATCCACCAGGTGACATCTTGGAGCCCCAGGCAGCCTGAAGTTCGCTCTGGAACAGGTGGCTGGTTCTCAGCCGTCTCAGGAGCAAGGCTGTGGCCAGGCAGGTCTCTCTCAGCAACCCGCATAAGAGTCCGTCGGAAGGTCACCCAGGTTAGCACCACAGCCAAGTCACCAGGGAGCCCACAAATGCTCCCTGGGTCTGGGGACAGATGCCTTGGCAAGGAAGGAACTTATTTATTGTGCCGGAGGGAATTCCAGCCCATCTGCAGGGCCCAGCAGGAGCACCGAACAGAGGTTCCTGGGTGCAGGGCATGCCTAGGAGCAAGCACCCCAGGATTAGCCAATGTAGGCGCCCTCTGGGAGCTCCACTACCACCGGGGCGCAGTCCTCGGGCTCTGCTGTGAAGTCCCATCGGAACTTCTTGGTCAGGTGGGCCTGGAACTTCTCCGCCTTCTTTCTCAGGATGGCATCCACGGCAGTGCTGCAGGCCGAGGAAAAGAAAACCTAAGAGAGTAGGGGACAGAGAACAAGTCATTCTGGGAAAACAGGGGCCAAGAATGCTCTGGAAATGTCCTTGTGACACTCAGTCCCTGGGGATGGTGGATGAGCTGCAGCGGGCACAAGCCTAGGATCCCTGCTGTGCTTTCCCCAGAAGCCAAGAAAGTCCAGACCCAGCTGAGGAGCAAATGGCCATCCTAGGCACAGCAGTCCATGGAAAAGGCCCAGGAGTGCCAGCATCCATAGGAGTGCACAGTAGAAAGCACTGGGGGTGAGGCAGCATAGGGCCCCAGATCCTGCGAAGTCCCAGCTCGGGACTTCCACCACAGATATGGGGAAAACAGCTGTTCTCCACCACCCGAGCTTGCATTGTGAGAACATTTGAACCCTGTTCCAGGCTGTCCCAGCTCAATCTCCTTTCTCAGAATCTTGGAAATCTCATCCTCTCTTCTCACTCTCTGCCTGTTTTCAGAACAGGTTCAGAACATCCGAGTGGGAACTCATGGTACAGAGAAGATACCAGAATTTCTGCCTCTCATAAGGAGAGGGAGGCTGAAAAGACTTAAGTAACTAGGCCACAATGATCCAGCAAGGAACAAGGGCTTTTCCCAGATGCAGGAGTACGGCAGCTGCTCGGGCCACACTGCCTTGTGCCACTGCTTGCCCTCGAAGCCCCAGGAAAGTTATCTGGGCTCTAGGATCCCAGCCTCAGAGCAGGCACAGCATCCGACCACTGCCTCTCCGACCTGTTAGCAGGAGGGAGGTCCTGCTGCTGGCCTTGGTTGGCAACCATTCTGTGGGCTAGTGCCGACAGCAGCACAGGCAGAAGTGACAGGACTGGGGATGAGGGAAAGAGCCTGGTGATATTAACTTGTAGATCTAGGAGAAGCAAGCACAGCCACAACAAATGTCCGATCAATAACTAATTAGAGGGCCTGGGATCTCAGGGGTGAGAGGGCCATGGGGAAGGCAGGCAGCAGTTGTGAGTGGACACACAGATAATGGCCCTTGCCTGGAAGGCAGGCTGGACACAAGGAAGATTCCTTCCAATGCAATTATCTCTATAGCCAGCACCCTTGGGGTGACCACAGAGGTGGTAGGGAACCTGCGGGGCTTGGAGCAAAAGCCCCTCCCTACTCTGCACACACAGTAACCTGCACTGGGTTCTATGCAGCCACGTGGAACAGCTGCCCAAACATTCCCTGGACCTTAGGCCAACCACACATTTTGCTCTTTCTTCTCTTTTTTCTTTTTCTTAAGATTTATTTATCTGGTGGCCTGAGCAATGGTTCAACTGGCCAGTTCTCCACCTGCAAGTGCCAGCATTCCACATGGCCACTGGTTCGTGTCCTAGATGCTCCACTTCCCTTTCAGCTCCTTGCAAGTGGTCTGGGAACGCAGAGGAGGATGGCCCAAAGCCTTGGGACCTTGTACCCATCTGGGAGACCCACAGGAAGATCCTGCTTCAGACCGATTCAGTTCCAGCTATTGCAGCTATTTGGGGAGTAAACCAGCAGTTCTTTGTCTCTACTCTGTAAATCTGCCTTTTAGAAGAAAAAGTAGTTATTCATTTGTAAGTCAGAATTACAGAGAGGAAAACAGCCAGAGAGAAAGAGATCATCTATTCACTGGTTCACTCCCCAGATAGCCACAATGACCAGCACTGGCCCAGGCCCAAGCCAGCTTAATCTGAGTCTCCCATATGGGTGAGGGGCCCAAGTGCTTGGGTCATCATCTTCCACTGCCCTTCTCAGGTATTTGCTGGGAGCTAGATCAGAAGTGGAGCAACACTGCCTGGGATAGACACCCAAGAGATGCCAAAGAAGCAAGTGTTGGCTTTACCTACTATGCCACACTTCTAGTCCCTTCCCTCTGCCTTTAACACAATTCCAGGTACTGCTTTCTTCCTCTCACCTGGCTAGTTTTCCGCAATGACCCTGGTCAACTCAGACATCACCTCTTCTAGACTGAGGATGGGCTGGGCATGCCTGTATCTAGCAACCAGGGGTCCTGCCTCCTGGCTCCAATCAGTGAGGTGAACAGGCCCTTCACTGTTTGCTGTCCTCCAAGAGGTACAGGTACAGTGTGGGTCTGATGAACAGAACAAAGATGACAATGGGTTCAATGAGTACCCACTTCCAGCCTCTTTGCACAGTACTGATACCAAACGATGCTCTAAGACCTGACTCCAGGGAGGGAGTCAGCTGAGTCCTCAGGCCCATGCGTGCTACCTGTTTCACCCGTGACCCGCCTCTTACAGATTCCCTCAGCTGGCCACTTGGCCAGCATCTGTCACCCTGCACTTGTAGCACAGTGCTCTGTACCCCTTAGGAGGAGGGACTGAGTCATTACAATTCATTATAGAGCCCTGAGCCTGGTGAGGAACTGGGGTCCCTGGGCTGCTCAGTGAGCATGGTGAATGAGACACAGCAAGCACCCTGCACCTGGCAATGGCCTGGGGCAGGGCTGGAAGGAACGCACTGACACTCACCCCACCCTCCCCACCTCTCAACACTGCCAGGAAGTGAAATCAACTAGGCAAGTATGACAGAAGCCTTCAGCCTAAAAAATAAAGCTTCTAACTTGGAAAGAGCTTGGTCCTTTTTAAGCAACTCGTCTACTTACACTTTACTACAAGACTGAGAGGTAGGAGGATAGAAGACGACTGTCCCCATGGCCAGGGAGATGCCTGGTGTGCCACATCACTCGGGGGTGGTTGTCGAGTAGGAGCACGCCCAGGCAGGGCCTTCAGTCCACATCTTCCCCTGCTAAGACTCTCGTGTCTTGGGGTCTATGGGCCCTGTGACCTCTTGGAGACCAGAACCTCTTTCCTTAAAGATCATCTTTCTCGGGAGTATCCTGAACATGCAGTTAAATCCTCTCATTCACAGAAAAGAGATATATGCCCACACAGCCACCACATGATGAATGTTTAACATTTTCTTTTGGCATTCAGTTCTGAGCTTGAAGACCCCATCCGGCTGCTGCCCAGCAGTCAAGCTCTCCCTTCACTTCTGCCCCTGACACCCACTGATCTGCTTTTGACCCCCTGCTTTCACCAATTTGGTATTTTTAAGATTCCACAATTCAGAAAAGGAGATATTTAAATCATTAGCTTTTAAGCAACAACTTATTCTTTGCTGATTAACCTTATGACCTTTTCAGAAAACTTAGCGATCCATTTACTTCACCTAAAGTGAAATCCAGTAAACACCGTTTAATGTGACTGAGAAATGAATCATCTTTATATCTGCAGATTACCTGTATTCAGACTACTTCTGAACCTTTAAAAAACACTACAGAGGGGCCGGCGTAGTGGTGTAGCAAGCTAATACTTCACCTGCAGCAGTGGCATCTCATTTGGGTGCTAGTTTGTATCCCAGCTATTCTTCCAATCCAGCTTCGTGATTATGGTCTGGGAAAGCAGCAAAGAATGTCCAACACCTCAGTCCTTGACCTACGCGGGAGACCTGGAAGAAGCTCCTAGATCCTGAACAGCCCTGTTCCAGCCGTTCAGTCATTTGGGGAATGAACCAATGAATGGAAGATCTCTTTCTCTGTCTCTCCCCCTTTAACTTTCTTCTGCTTTTTCTTTCTTCTTCTTCTTCTTTTTTTTTTAAGATTTATTTATTTTATTGCAAAGTCAGATATACAGAGAGGAGAGACAAAAAGCAAGATCTTCTGTCTGCTGATTCACGCCCCAAGTGACCACAACAGCCAAAGCTGAGCTGATCCAAAGCCAGGAGACAGGAGCTTCCTCCAAGTCTCCCACGTGAGTAGGGGTCGCAAAGTTTTGGGCCATCTTTGACTTCTTCCCCAGGCCACAAGCAGGCTGCTGGATGAGAAGTGGGGCCTCTGGGATATGAATTGGTATCTATATGGGATCCCAGCGTGTGCAAGGCAAGGACTTTAGCCACTAACCTACCTCACTGGCTCACTGGGCCCTGTAACTTTCAAGTAAATAAATCTTAAAAAAAAAAACCCTTAAACAGGATAACATTTGATGAATAAATGTATTTCTCTAAATAAGCACCCTTCTTGTTTTTCTTCAAACATATATACACACAGTTATATTAATTGTTAAACCTGTGTTTTAAGATTTTCAGTCAGGTTATCTTGAGAAATTTAAAACATAGAGGTAGCTATTTGAGTTGTTATCCATTTTTTTTTCTTTTTTTAGCTAGACCAGAAATGAAGCTTCTAACTTTTTCTATTTCCAAATGATTATTCAATTTACAGTGAAACTACCCATAGGCAGACCGTTTTCTGCAGAAATCTGCAGCAGAAAGAAAATGCTGCTAAAAACAGGACCACTGCTTCCCAGTGACCACCAGGAAGCTGACAAACAGTAGGAATCCCACTCTGAGCCAGTGTAAAGACTCGGGCAGGGGCTGACGTTGCAGTACAGCCAGCAGGTTAAGCTACCTCTGGCAATTCCTGCATCCTCTAGCAGAGTGCTGGTTGGGTTTCAGTCTTGGCTGCTCTACTCTTCTCTCTCTTCAAAGATTTAGCCATCGAGTTATCATGCTGGGCTCTCTATTTTCAATACAATTCCCTGCTAATATGTCTAGAAAAACAGCAAATGATGATGGCCCAGTACGTAGGCCTCTGCCACCCATGTATGAGCCCCAGAGTTGCAGATTCCTGGCTTCAATCTGGCCCAGTCTCAGATGAGGTAGTTATTTGGGGAGTGAATCAACAGATGGATTATCTCTGTCTCTATTGCACTGCCTTTCATAATAAACAAAACCCTAAACAAGCAAGCAAACAAAAAGGGTTTGGAGATGCTTCCCACAGGGGCTCTAAAAATGTACAGAGGTCCACTACAGGCTCTAGAGTCCAAAACTTCACCTTGCCACCACTAGCTATGTCGACCTTGGACAAAACCGATGCCCGCTCAGAGCTTGTTTCCTGTTCAGTTGTAGCATTCTGGTGGAAACTAAATGGGAGAAGACACAGCAAGAGGCCGAGATCAGCCGGTGTGAGGACAGGACACCACAGTCAGAGTCAGAGTCAATGTTTCCCCTCCAGAGTTACAGATGGGCAAGAGATGATGCTGCACAGCGTCCATGGCCTACTGTGGCTCAACAGATGTCAGAGAGAAAAACAGGGCCCGGTGTGGGGGCCTAGTGGTTAAAGGTCCTCATCTTGAACACACCGGGATCCCATATCGGCACCAGTTTTAATCCCAGCAGCTCCACTTCCAATCCAGCTCCTTCATTGAGGCCTGGGAAAGCAGTGGAGGACGGCTCAAAGCCTTGGGACCCTGCACCCACATGGGAGACCTGGAGGAAGTTCTTGGATCCTGGCTTTGGATCAGCACAGCACCGGCCGTTGCGGTCACTTGGGGAGTGAATCATCAGAAGAAAGATCTTCCTCTCTGTCTCTCCTCCTCTCTGTATATCTGCCTTTCCAATAAAAATAAATAAATCTTTAATAAGAGAGAGAGAAACAGGTTGCATGACTGGATACACAAAACTGCAAGCAGCAATACCATGCAGAACTCACTTTAACATACCATTACATTCAGATTGTCCTTTCATTGCTTTAAAATGAATTTGAATGACTTAAGTTACTTTCAACAAAAATACTATTCTTGTAAAGCAATCTTTATTTAAGCTAAATCCAAGGGATTTTTAAAAGCAACGCCACCTAGTTAAGCAATGCCATCTCACACAGCAAGATGAAAACAAAGTAATGGCTGAGGCCTTCACATGGCTGATTTTACCTATGCTAATGTGGCTGCTCTGAAGAGGTTGCACATACACACTGAAGCTCCTCTCTACAGGTAGTAGACATTTAAGCTCCTAAGTGAGAAAGCCCGATCCACTTACTTGACCTCCTGGGGAGAGAGTGGTTGCTGATTGAGAAAGGGTGTTATGCATGAATTCATTCAGTCACAAACATCCTGCAGCGGGGCTGGAATTGTGGCACAGTGGATGAAAGTGCCATCCATAACATTCAAAGGGGCACTAGTTATTCTGCTTCCAATCCAAAGAATGACATGGTAAGAAGGCCAAAACAGAATTTTCTCAACTGTCAGCTCTGCACCACCCACCTGGACACCTTGCAATCCAGCTGGGGCCTTTCTGTTTTGGAAATCATTTCTGGCAACAGCGCCCTGGCAGCCAGAGAGATGGGGTTATGCTGACGGCAGCAGGACAGCCGGCAACCCTGAGCCCTCCTGTGTGTGCACATGACAGTGTCCACTCATGTCACGAGGGGAGTGTGTCATTCCTCTGGGTACAGCCATCACTAGAGACAGAGGACAGCTGACACCTGCTCCTGTAGCTCCACACCCACAACCAACAGCCAGGCAGAGGAGGAGACTGCACAGAGAAGGGATCTGATCTCTGTGTTCTCTCGGGGCACTAATAGGACAGCTTCAGCTCCAGTGAAATGGAATGCAGAAAGTGCAAGGCATCAGCCTGCCCGACACACAAGCAGGGTCTGCATCAGGCCTCCACCTGCCACAGCCAGCAGCTAGCGGCCTACGGCAAGGGGAGACTCTCCCAATGGCCTGGGCCCAGGCCCCAGGCCCCTGACGGCATCTTCCCCGGAGTCCAGCAGGACTCCTTTCCAGGACCCATGCCTTATCTACTGACATGGAGCACAGGCCAGAAAGGAAACCAAGGCCTGGGAATGGGTATACACCCTGATTTCCACTTGGCAGCTGTGTGAAATTAAGGACATGAATTCATTTGTAAAACAGGAGCAATTCCTCCTGCCCTCTGGGGTTCCAGAGGTTAGACAAGGGAATCCAGATGACAGATAAATATGGTACTTGCTGCCCCAAAGGAAATAATGAATGTCTGCTCCTCTCTGACCCTGGGCGGAACTGGGAGGTTAAAAGTGAATGGTCACCTCATTCGAGCAAGGGCTCTCACACATAATGGAACTCACAGCTGGCCCCACTGGTCTCCTCTATACCCAAGAAAGTTACAGGACCCATGTGACAGAAGTTGTCTCAAGTACATAAAGGAAACCGATCTGATTGCAAAGGGAAGAAATAGCACAGGATGAAGCCTGTACGCTGTCTGAAGCTTCTTCCCTAATTACCACTCATAATGAAAATTTAATTGCCAAGTTAAAAGCAAATTCTGCTTTTTCTGTTCAGAGAATCTCCGCAGAAACTGGCACATTTTGTTTGATGAGGAAATCAAAGTTACTCTAATGCTTAAATGAGATCTAAGGAGCTGCAGATGTTTCACTGGGAATAGCAAGCTACGAAACTGTCCTCCTGGACTGCAGCAGCTCACCGCCATGAGTGTGGAAAGTTGCTCTGAGCCGGGGAGCCACAAAAGCAGGGAGGATTCACATCGCAAGAGCATCCCAATGCTGGGCCCTCTGGGGGAGGAGGGGGAAGGCACATAAAATATCTCTGGCCTTGAGGAACTTAGAACAAGCTGGAGAGGGAAACATCACCAGAAAAGCTGTGGGTCACAGGAGCCAAGCGGAAGATGGGAGCCACCCTGCAGGTGGTCGTGGCACCCTCACCTTCACTCTTGCCTGCTGCTCACCTGTAAAGTGCTGGTGAGGAAGTTGTCCTGGGAGACAATGTCCACGAAGAAGTCGGCAGGGATCTCGCCAAGCTGGTGGTACAGGATAGAGATGAGGCTGGTGTACAGGGTGTGGTGCTTCAGCATGGCGGCCTCAGACCGGCACAGCAGGTTCAGCAGCCGCTTCCAGTGCTCGAAGGCCTCGTACACACTCCCCAGCAGGAAGCACACAAAGGCAAATTGCAGTTCACCTGCAAGGGCAGAGGAAGAACGATCCTGAGGGACTGACCTGCCCAGGGCCTTCACGAGGCCAAGGCCTTGGGACCTTGGCAATGGAGGCTGTCTTCCCCTTGTCACCTCAGCAGAGCCTGGGATGGGTTTTGGCATCCAGTCTGAACTGCTATAAATTCAAGACGTGGAAGACCACCCTGCTGCTGTGCATTTCTGTGAAACCAGACTACCGAGCAGAGGTGCTCCTTGCTTCACTGGCATCTTAAAACCTCACCATGTGTGCCTATCGCTGCTACGTCACGTGGGTCCCAAACCAAGCTGCTCTGGGATTCCCTGAGAAGTGGGCTGAGTAGGGCCAAGGGGGCTGCATGTTGCAGCTGAGGTGCTGGTGTGCTGCCCAGGTGACTATGCCCCGAGGCTGGGGAAACACTGCCTTCCACTGGCCACCCCTCAGCCCAACTCCACAGAGTGATCCAGTAAGGTGCTCCTGTGTAGCTGAGGCCCAGGCCTACACATCTGCATCGGGTGGTGGGACCCATCCTGAGGGCTTACTCCAGAGTCAGCCTGCCTGGTCCTTCCTGCTTCCTGAATGTCAGGGCTCCATCACTTGCGACTTGCTCTGAGAGGCAGTATGGTGGCAGGGCACACAGGCTCTGGAGCCAAACTGCCGGAATTCTGGCCTTAGCTACACCTGGGGCAGTTGAGTGGCCTCAGGCATCACTTAAACCTATGCCTGCCTCGGTTCCTTTAGCTTTAGTGCAGAGCACACACACAAAGCACTGAGAGTTAACACCTGGCACATTCAGCACTGGAAAACGATTCACTCTCCCCGTTTCTACAAAACACCTGGCTCTAGCATGGAGCCCTCAAGAACCCAGGGTCCCTGGCTGCCACAGGTACACTGGGCATCAGAGGCGCTCCTGGCAGCCTCCAGGTAGCTCATGCCTTATGGAGGAGGACACACGAGTGGGCCAGAGGAGCACAGGATAAGCACTTCCAGCAAGGGCCTCTTCCAACATACAGTGTCCTGGTGCTGTCACCCAAAAATCACCAGGTCCCTGCTCCGAAGCCTAAGCAACCCAGTGGGATTTGTGTCTACCTGCTCTAGATATTATGGATCGCTAACCAATACTTTCAAAATATAAAAATCAAATTTTCTTTGCAAAATAATGATTTATTTCTTCAGTTGACTTTTCCTGATCAAGTTATAAAATTTAGTATTAGTCTATCCTCTGCATTTAGGGCACTTAATTGAATCCCCCATCTTTAGTCTCATTTAAAATTATGACATCCGAAATAATTTCAAAGAGGTATATAAATCTATCCTTGATCCTTTCAACACACCTTTCCACAAGATATTTCGAAGAACTGAAATTTCTATGAAGTAGAAAATGAGATTTCTATTCAATTACAAACCAGAATTTAAAATGTTATTTACTAGATTAAAATACTATGGAATGCAATAATCTGCACCCATTAAAATATCCCATATATCAGTTGAGTCAAAGATATGCCAAATCCTTTATTCAAAATTCCTCACCAATCCTTCAGGAGGATAAATAATGTAGCTGAACAATTTGTTTTTTGTTTTTTGTTGCTGTTGTTTAAGCGTTTATTTATTTTTATTGTAAAGGCAGATACAGAGAGGAGGAGAGACAAAGAGGAAGATCTTCCATCTGATGATTCACTCCCCAAGTGACCGCAACAGCTGGTGCTGCGCCGATCCAAAGCCAGGAGCCCAAATCCTCTTCCAGGTCTCCCACACAGGTGCAGGGTCCCAAAGTTTTGGGCCATTCTCAACTGATTTCCCAGGCTACAAGCAGGGAGCTGGATTGGAAGTGGAGCTGCCGGGACTAGAATTGGTGGCCATATGGAATCCCGACGTGTTCAGGATGAGGACTTTAGCCACTAGGCTAATGCGCCAGGCCCTAGCTGAACAATTTGTAAAAAATATAAAAATATATCTAAACAACTATTAAACATGTGATAAATGTCTGTTATTATTAGCATTGAAAACAAGTGGGGCTGGTGCCATGGCATAACAAGCTAATCCTATGCCTGTGGCGCTGGCATAGCAGTGCAAGATGGTCCAAGTGCTTGAACCCCTATCCCTATAGTGGCATGGGAGACTTAGAAGAAGTTCCTGGCTCCTGGCTTTGGGATCAGCTCAGCTTCATCTCTTGTGACCATCTGGAAGGTGAACCAATAAATGGAAGGTTTCTTTTTTCTATATATCCCTTGTTTCTCTATAACTCAGCCTTTCAAACAATAAACAAATCTTCTCAACCATCTGACCGAAAGCATCTCTGCCGAACTGCCACCCCTGGGTGCTGCTGAAGATCGGGACAGGGCCTACACACCCGAACCCAATTCCCAGGACCTCAACCTCATGCACATCAGCACCACAAGGGGTAACAGACAACAGTCCTGACACAGAGAGTGAGGAATTCAGAACGCCAAGCAGCACCGGCCGCTGATATCAAGGCAGACTACTGAGCATTTAAATCCTGTTTCTGTAAACAGCCACATGCATACCTAAAAACTATGGGCTTTTTAGCAGACCAAAAGGAAATACACAAAGGAAATACACAAAAAAATAAACAGAAATACACAGGTGAAAAAGAAACATAAACATGTCAAAATATAAAAACAGCTACACCTTTGTGCTTGGATTTGAAGTGGTTGCTCTTGTTTTTCTGAACAGATGTTTGTGATGAAGAGGGAAAGCAGCAACAAAAACCCTAAAATCCGCGTCCTGGTGCCAGCAAACAGAGTGACAGGGAAATGAGGAGGCAGGTAGCAGCGAGGCAGAACAAAGGCCAGGCCTGGGAGCCCAGAAACCAAGCTGCCAGGCCTGGCTGACCATGTACTTGGCCAAAGCCTTTCTCTTATAGGGCCAGTCAGCATCACAGGGCTGAACCACCCGCAGCAGGCCCACCTATGGTGCTTTTCAGGGGCAGACAAAGTGAACCAGCTGCAGTCCTGGTCCCCATCTGGAATCAAAATATCCAGGGCGGGCACCAAGACACCTCTGTGTCAGGGGTATGCTATGGTAGTCGGCCTCCTGCCCTGCCTCCAACACCAAGAGGCTGATCAACCCGCCGCCCCTCCATCCTGAAATGCCCCTCTTACCACCCCTGCCCACCCGCCGCCTTCTCACCGAGCACGTCCTGGGGGCTGCTGGGGAAGTGCCGGCTGAGCACAGTCTCCAGGGCGTAGCTCAGATCCATGCTATGCCTGGTGATTTCTGCTGGTGTGGCGCCCTTTGGGAACATCTGCGTGGGTAGCTCAGAGAAGCGGATCTCCGTGCCAGCTCTGGGCTTCATTTCGGGCAGCCGGGCCAGGCCCTCCTGGTAGCTTCTGCACTCTGTGCCACAACGGGGCAGGTTCTGCCGGGCCCGGTCCTCGGTGTGCTTCATGGCGAGCACCGGCAGCACATCTGAGAAGGCGCAGATCTGCCTGCTCTCAGGCTGCAGCTTCTCCACAGTGGCCTCACTGATGAAGTTGGTGAGGGAGATCCACTTCTTCAGAGTGGCATAGGGGTAAGGGCCCAGGAACGGGTCTAGCTCCTGCAGACTGGCCCTCATGGCCTCCACCTCGGCCTCTGGGGCTGGGGACAGGTCCACCTCTTCCCGGAGGGTATTCCAGCGCAGCACAGTAAGCTCCCGTGGCTGCAGGCTGAGGAAGAAGCCCATCCGGGGGCCCGCCTCCCGTGGATTGGCCTTGTCCACAGAGCTGTAGTGCAGGAAGTGGACGCCTGGCGGGATCATCTTCACGCCCCGGAACTTGGGCCCCACTTCCCAGGAGTTGTAATCGATGCCAAACTCTGTCCCCTTGGGCATATTCAGGATAACCACTGTGGCCCCTTCAAAGAAGAGGCTCTTGGCTAACTCAGGATCCATCTGCATGGCGGCCATGGGGCTGAGGGAGGTGAGCAAAAGAATGCCTTTTTTTGTGTCTTCCAGAAGTGCTGAAAAAGAAAGAAATCAGAGCTGACCAGACGTGCATGAGGGACACTGCACATGCCAGGTACTGACATGCCTGACACAATCACCTCCCTTGACCCCCGCAACAATCTGTTTTACAGATAAGGGAAGCGAGGACACCAGAGGAAAGCACTTTGTATTTAACAAACAGGCACACAAAGGTGAAAGCTAGAAACATACTAGTTGAAGAAAAGTTCTATGTGTAAGAGCATATAAGGAGCCCCTGCCCGGCAGGCCAGCCTCTTCCCACTGTCCACTCTGAGACCCAGCCAGCTCTGTCCAACCACAGCGGATGAGGGCAGAAGCTGAGATAATCCATTCTCAATAACACCAGAACCTGCCTAAACGCTAATCCTGCCTCACATTGACCACCAGAGCGTCCCAGTGATCACAGACACGCTAAGTTCCCATCAGCATCCAACATTCACAAAGGGCTTGGGGCACGGAGAATGGTGCCACCGCCAGTCCCAAACTTCAAGGAGTGGAACAACTTCCCAAAGGGCTCAGAATCAGGTGTCATGCCTCCAGAACAGACCCAGGAGGTGTGCCTGACCTGGGGCCAGCACAGGGAGGAGGTGCTACAACACTCCCTCTCAGGCCCAGAGCAATGTCTCAGTGACTAAATCTTTGCCCTATATCTCCTGGGACCCCATATGGGTGTCAGTTCGCATCCTGGACATTCCACTTTCCATCCAGCAACCTGGGAAAGCAGTCGAAGATGGCTCAAAGCCTTGGGACCCTGCACCCATCTGGAAGAATAAGAAGCTCCAGGCTCCTGGCTTGGGATAGACTCAGCTCCAGCTACTCCAGCCACTTGTGGAATGAACCAGCAATGGAAGTTCTTTCTCTCTGCCTTTCCAATGAAAACAAATAAATCTTAAACAAACAAAAAGAATTTCAAACATATCAGAATGTATCATGAGTAGTAAGGATAACCGTAGTTTCCCAAAGCTTCGTGTCCGGTGCATACATTTACCTGGTGGTGACATAAAATGTATTTGTTACTGCTGGTTAAAGTCAAAAAGCAGCCACGGTTCTAAACTGGTTTGTATTTTTTTATTATCACCTTCCTTCCTTACCTATCACACCAAACTTGGGAAGTACTTAATAAGTATTTGGCGCATACACAGCAACTCCATGCAGTACAAATGCTGGACTAGCCACTGCTTCTGTGCGCCTCTGGTTGACCACGGCCTCTCAACCCAGCTCCACCAGAAGCCACATGTGGCGGGCACACAGCGGGCACACAGCAGGGGCTGGGAGAGGGAACTCTGCGACCTTCCAATCTGCCCCATACCCGCCCAGTGTGTGGCTCCCGCTGGGGGCGGGGCGCAGTCGCCCCTATCCATTCCTCTCTGCCACCTCCCCAACCAAGCTACCAGCGCCCCTCACGCCAGGGTGCCCTCCAGCCCACACTCCACCTCACCGCCACAGGTACCTCTTAGTCCTCCCCACCCACACGAAGCTTTACGGAGGCCCAAGCCTGATCCGTGACCCGCAAAGCCGGCCCCCGCCCCCAGCACGTTCCCGCGCCGACCCAAGCATGGGAAAGACGCGTCCCAGCCCTTCCGCTTCCACGCTGGCCTGGTGGAGAAGCCGCCCCCCGACTCACGAGGCCGGAGTCACGTCTGCAGCCCAGCGTCTGTGAGACACACTCCTTCAGAGGCAGGGCTCATGGACGCCCTCGACCGGAGGGCCGAGGAGAACTGGGGCGGGGACAGCCTGGGCCGCCGGCCCCGCGGACCCCATGGAGCCACGGGGAGGCCTCCCGAGGAACCCTGGCCCGCTCGCGGCGGGGTGAGCCCGGGTCCGGGCACTTCGCGGTGCCAAGTGGACTGGCCACAGGCACACAACGCCAATACGGGAAGAAGAAGACGTAAGACACTCACCAGCCGCGACTTGAGGTACCGCGGAAGCGTGCCGGAAGTCCTCCCGTTTGGGTGCCGGTCGGGAGCACCGGAAAAAGACTTCCCCCTGCAACCTTCGGTCGCAGAAAGAACGGCCAGGGCCTATAGGTTCCGAACGTCTTTTGCGTCTGGTAGTGTCTCGTTTTAGCTCTTGTTTATGGATCACAGCTTTCATTACGCTGTATGTGAACCTAGTGCTTTGCTTTTGTTATCACGGTTGTAGGATTTAGGCAAAAAGGGTGTTGGGGAGAATTTATCTTGAAGCACAGATGGGGTTACAAGGGCGACCAGACCAGGCACAAGGAGCAGTTCCGGCTGCAAGAAACCAATTTGGGGGGGGGGGGGGGGGGGGGGGGGGGTGCGAAGGGGCGCGGCGCGATGGTTAGCTAGCTAAATCCTCGCCTCGCATGCGCAGGGATCCCATATGGTTGCCGGTTCGTGTCCCAGCTACACCACTTCCCATCCAGCTCCCTACTTGTGGCCTAGAAAAACAGTGAAGGACGGGCCCAAAGCCTTGGGACCTTGAACCTGCGTGGGACATCCAGAAGAAACTTCTCATCCCTGGCTTTGGCTCGGTTCAGCTCTCGCAGTATCAGGCATTTGTAAAGTGAAGCAGAGGACGAAAGATCTTTCTCTCTGTATCTCCTCTCTGTAAACCTGTCCCATGTCCCAAAGCAAGGTCCAGATTCCTGGCATCCAGTTCAGTTTCCTGGGAGCAGCAGGTCCAGTACTGGAGTCTGGAGTACTAGATGGGAAACCTTGATGGAGTTCCTGGCTCCTGTCTTTGGCCTGACCCAATCCGGGTTCCTGTGGTTCTATTTCTGTGGTTGTATGTCTTTCTCTATTAAAAAAAAAAAAAATCAGGGATGGACTTTTGGGTAAAATATCACTTAGACACATATGAAAATGGCTGCTGCTCATGTGTAGGAGCAAGAAGGCCCATCTCCCTTTGGCTACATCTTGGGTCCTCATATTCTGGCAAACTACTTTGTAAGAAGGCTGTTTCTATAGGGAACAACACTAGTCTACTTTCTCCTTTACTTGTAAGCTGTTTCTGCTGGAGGCTGATTCCTGGGTAACTCCCTGAGCAGAAGGACCCCTAATCTCAAGTAATCCTAGCTGCCAAGTAACCGCAGTTAAATCCTCAGCAAATGTCCCAATCAGTTGGTCCCTGTGCAAGTCACAGTGTCGGGAGCTGGCCTGCCACCACACTCAGCCCAGGGGAAAGCAGCCTGGGCCACGGCATGTTCCATTGGTCCCAGTGGTGGTGACCACCCAGGTCCTGTAGGCCCTTGGGCGTGACACACACCGAGGGAAGCTACCACCAGTTCCCTGGGATGCAGCACTGATAGCAAAGTTCTGAGTGGCACGGCTGTTATACATGTTAATAATGACACCAATTTGGCCTGAGCCAGTGGCTTCTGTGTGGACCCATCCTTGTGCTAGATGTTCATACCAATCAGGCCTCCGCTAAGAAGGCTGAGTGGTAGAAGATAACTGTGATCCCCTTGCTGCAAGGGACTATCCTACTTGATTGAGGGCTGGTCGTGGTATTCCCAATTCATGGAAGAGAAAACTGGTGTTCAGAGAGGTGTTCTCCAGCCGGAGGGCGGCAGGGATGGCATCCAAGGAGTGTGTGACAGGCTACTCTCACTGGTACTGCTGTGTCTAAGCTTGCCTGCCATGCTTTATCCATGACAGCTGTGCCTGCCAAGCTCTCAGGCAGGGCTCAGTTCTCAGTGGGATGTGGACAAGATGGGCCCTGTGGTCACGGTTAATCATGCTGAGCTGCTGCAGGATTAAGCAGAGGCTGGTTCCACTGCCATGCTTATCCATGTCTGCCTGACCCGTTGGCTGCATCTCCTGCAGGAAGCAGATCAGCTCCTGCCTTGCCTCATGCCACTCCCAGGCCTCAGCTCTGAGCTCACTGTCCCAGCCGTGCCCTCTCTTTCCAGAGGTGCCAGGGCATTAAGCCTAGGACTTGGAAGCTGGGAACAGAGGTCTGGGAATCCCACCTGATGTATGACTTGTCCATTTAGAGCCAGGTTTCCCGACCTTTGAATTCACAGACATCTTGATCACTGGCTTCTCTGCTGATGGTCGCGGTCCCGTGTGGCTGTGGGCTGGCAGGTGCTGCTGAAACTGACCATCATGGTGACCTCATGTCTTGAAACTTCAAGGTGTCCCTTGAGATTAATAGCGTGGCCACTGCTTTAGAAGCATATGTTTTTCTGGTTGTTTTTTTTTTTTTTTTTCTATAATCCTTCTTGTGTTTCTACTACATGAATTCTGATCAATTACTGTTTTCATCTTGATCTAAGTTTCTGTCAGCATGGCAATTTTACTCATTTTGTGAAAAATTTTCTTTCCATTGTTAATTATTAAAAGTTGTAAAAGAATATTTAAATGACATGTGAGAGGACTTTGACCAAAAAAAATTACATATGACAAAAACTCACTTGTGAAATGTTAGACAATAAAAGATGGCCAAGGGTATGTGGCTTGATAGAATATAAATGCAAAGGTGGTCCCAAAGCATAGGCAGGAAGAACAAAATCAGACAAGTGAGGTTGCAGCAAACTAAGAAGTTCCTGTACTGCAAAGGAAATAGTAAACAGATAAAAGGATCAGCAACAGAATGGGAGAAAATATTCGCAAGCCGTACATCTAACAAAGGATTAGAATACATAAGGAGCTCAAGAAATTCAACCATAACAGAATAAATAATCCCACTAAGAAACAGGCAAAGGATCTGAGTTAAACATTTTTCAAAAGAAGAAACACAAATGGCCAGCAAACACGTGAAAAAAAAAAAAAAAAAACTTGCTCAGTAACACCAGCTGCCGAGGAAGTGCAAATCAAAGCTAGAGAGGTGTCATCTCACTCCAGGTAGAATGGCTATCCTCCACACGTTGCCAGGCAGCGAGCGCCAGTGAGGATGTGGGGGCTAGGGGATTTCTAAGCCAGTACAACCACTGTGGAAGCTCGTACAGAGTCATCAGAAAGCTAAAACTAGATGGACTGTAACACCTGCTATGTCACTTGTGGAAATAGATCTAAAGTAAATGAAGCCAGTGAACTTAAGAGATTCCTGCACTCACATGTTGATTGCTGCCCAATCCACAATATCAAAGATATGGAATCAACCTGAATGTCCATCAACTGATGTCTGCATAAAGAACATGTGACATATACATACGATGGAATTATTACTCAGCCATAAAAAAAGAAATCCTGACATTTGCAAGAAAATGGATGGAACTGGAGACTATTGCACTAAGCACAGAAAACCAAGCACAGAAAAAACGAATTCTGTTTTCTCTTGCAATATGTATATGTGGCATCCACAAATTCCCATATATAATAGGAAAGTATATGTTGTGTTCACTCTACAGTATGAAAATGTATGGATGCCATAGTATTTGGTCCATATGAATATTATCTTCACTGAATCATAACTTTGACATGGTAACTCCATGGTCTTTAAGGGGAATCTATATTGTGGTATTAATATCTGTGTTTACAAGCAAAATAGCATGTATATATTTTACATGAGGTTAAAAGTTGTGGAATCCCTTGGTGTTCACTGTACTCTTGTATTACTTGAAATATTTTTTTAAAGATTTATTTTTATTATTTTTTGTATTGGAAAGGCAGATATACAGAGAGGAGAGACAGAGAGGAAGATCTTCCGTCCGATGATTCACTCCCCAAGTGAGCGCAACGGCTGATACTATGCCGATCCGAAGCCAGGAGCCTCTTCTGGGTCTCCCACACGGGTGCAGGGTCCCAAAGCCTTGGGCGGTCCTCAACTGCTTTCCCGGGCCACAGGCAGGGAGCTGGAAGGGAAGTGGAGCTGCCGGGATTAGGACCGGCGCCCATATGGGATCCCGGGCGTGCAAGGTGAGGACCTTAACCACTGCGCCACTGCGCCACCGCGCCGGGCCCACTTGAAATATTTTAAAACAAACATAAAAAAGGCCCGAAGCAAATGAGTATGGACATGCACCTTCACAGAATAAGCGTCTATTTCCTGTGGGTTATAGTTCTAGTCTTTTCATTTATTTTAATGGAACTTCTTTTCTTCGGAAGGAATACAGTTTCCTTTTTAAATTTTTTTTTCCAGGGCGTTCATTTAAAAAACAGTAAGTTGTCCGTGGGGTTGGGCAGGCTGAGGGTGTGACAACACAGGGGAAGGATAGGGGCAGAGGCTACAGGGTATTGGCGAGGGGAGACTGCTGTGTGCTGGAGCTTACTGGGGATGACAGCCTCAGGCAGAGGCCCCACAAAGGAGAAGCCACCACACCCTCCCTCACGTGTCCTGCCCCGGAGACTTACCGTCCCCTTAACCTAGAATGTTCTCTTTCATGCTCTTCACCTTACTTGATCTTTCTCTGAATTCAGCTCACAAATCCCCTCCTGGCTACCTTGAAGGAGTCATCTTTGGTGACACTTGGCAGAGCATGTGTCCCTCTAAGTGCTGAGAGCTCCGATTGCTATTGCCCTTTTGCCCCTGCTGATGGCCGCTTCCGCCAGCCTGTGAGTCCTCCAGGCCCAGGAGCCTTGTTTGTGGGCTGCTGCACCTGCAGAGACCTGGATTCAAATGGTGAAAGCAAGCATTCTGAGCTGTGCTGTCTCCATTCCAGTCTGAGCCCTTCCCACCATCCCAGCTTGCCTGAGTAGCAGAGAGGCAGGGCAGGGCACAGAGAGGCATCAAAGAAGCTGGCATTTCAGCATCAAACACATTTATTTCACTTTTATTGAGTATACAAGAACAGAGAGCACACGCGTACAGCACGGAGCACTGAGGTGGGGAGCGTGGGACGAGATGGGAGAGGGAGGCGTGAGTCAAAAGGAACAGGACAGCATTGCAGTTGGTTTGTAAGGTGCTTCCGGAAAAAAAAAAAAAATGACTTAAGAGTGATGTTGCTCATGCAATTTCAGGCCAGTCTTGGAATGTGCTTGCAGGATTCAAAAACCTGAAACCATTCTGGCACGCCCTGTACCCTCAGATGGAGAAGATCCAGAGAAAGTAAAGTAAAAGAAAACAAACAGCTCTAAGGCAGCAGAGTGGAAAAAGACCCTGGAGAAAAATCTGGTTTGCCTCGCTCATTCTGCAGGTAGGGGGAACGGAGGCCGGACGGGGAGGATAGGACTGGCCCTGCGTTCTGTGACAAGCTCAGGGCTGAGCCCACTGCTCACCCCAAGCTCCTGATGTCTGATCTTGGGGACTTTTCCCACTGTGCTATGTGGCCTCTGGGCAGAGAGGCAGTGCAGAGAAGAGTGAGAGATGAGAAAGAGAGAAAAGAAAAAGTAGGTTGAAGACAGACAAGACATACATCTGTATTCTCTATGGAGGGGAGGCTGGAAAGCAAACCATGCCCTAGATTTTTGCTTGGCAGGTCTGCTCCTCCCTAGAGGTGCAGCCTGCTTTGCTGTGGAAGGGATGCCGGCGCAGCACACATCCATGGGGTAGAGATCTCCCCAAATGCTGGCGGCCCACAAGCCACACCCTAAGCCCCACTCTTCAGGGCCTGGGGGCAGCTACAAAGCCAGGACAAGGAAATGCCCTCTGAGGTGCACCCCGTATGCTCAGGCTGCCTAGTTCCTGAAGATGGGGGATACTGGAGCCAAATTCTGAGGAGCCCAGGCAGAGTGGGCCTGTGGCACTAAAGGCGGGCGGGAGGTTCTGTGCCTATGAAAAGTGTCTGGTAGACAGCACACAGGCCGTGGGACTCTGCACTCAGGGGTCCCGGAGGTGGCCCACCACCTGCCTCCCAGGCACGGCTGATTTGGCCGTCTCAGAGCCCCGCCTGCACACAGTGATCAAATGCTCTTCTGGTTTCTTGCCCTGCCTCAGGCCAGAACCAGCTAAGTAGCTGGGGTAACTGACGGGCAAGCCGCATGGGGTGCATCTGGCCTGGAATCCCAGAGAGGACCAACAGGTCAGGGAGTACAAGGTTCTTTCAGATAGGGCCAGCTGTGACTGGGGACATAGGTCTGGCTCAGGTGGCTTTCTGTGCCCCTCTCCTTCTCCTCACATTTCCTCCTTCAGCCCACAAGTGGGTTTTCTGAGGACCCTGGTTGTGTGACTCCACCCCCTTCTCCAGGAGTATGCCTGGGCAGTGAAGAGGGACTAGAAAGAGTGGTGGGCCGTGGGCCCTCAGACAGGGACAGCTGTTGAGCTTGATACAGAGACAGCCTGGCGAACCTGCGGATACCCATGTGCTCCTGGGGGCAAAGGTGGGCTTGGAACGGGGCCTTCTCCGAGGGCTCCTGTAGACTCGAGGCACAGACTCAGAGCTCCAGTGCTGATGGTGGGAGGGGTCCAAAGCCTAAGCCTCACCTGGAGTGGGAGGCGTGGAGCAGCACCGCCTTTTACCTCCCTTGTTCTGGGGACAGGTCCTTGGCCTCATGGGCATGGCTGCTTTGGCTCAGGAAGTAGAGAATGATTCAGAACCATGGAGTGGGGAGAGGAGAAGACGGCAGCCAGGTGAAACCCAGCATTGGTGATCATGGCCAAGGGCACTACCTCCCTTGGGATACAGAGTTAACTATCACAATGTGGTCAGATAAGGGCAAAACACATGGCAAACCAAAAAACCAGGGAAAGAGCGAGCGAGAGAAAGAAGACTGAAAAGCAAGGCAGGCCCCCTAGGGAGGTAGGAGGACTGAGCCAGGGGACCTCTACTGCGGGGACCCTGTGGCTGAGCAGGACCCTGGCGGCTACTGCACAGAGTGGGGAAAAGGCATGTTTGGGATTGCATCTCCGTTTTCTCCTTCCTGCCACCAAACACCTGCCTCCCCATCCAGGAGCATCCACCTGTCCCCACCCATGGACCAGTTTACAAACACCACACATGGGATCACTACACCAGAAGCGCCAGCTCCTACCATGAGCTGGCCACACCCAGAGTCCAGCTCTCCGTGGCAGAGCCAGGTCAGTGACATCTGGGAATCTCGGGATACGTCAATCACAGTCAGGGAATTGTTACTGTAACACGTCAGCTTCATACTTACCAGTACTGTTCGTGTTCATGTTTGCCCCCTGCTGTATGTAACATACATAACTCAAAAGCACATCGGCACAAGTCTACCAGCTGCACCTGCAACCTGGGCAAGTGGGAGCTATGGCGTCTGCGTCCCCTTCCTGCGTCTTCCTTTTTCGGCTCTGGCTTTTTTTACTTTGTGTTTTTTTTTCCTCTTTTGAATGCGAGTCATCTGTGGCCCTTGTGACAGGACTGGTATGTGGTGGGGGCTGGGGGAAGGAGGCGCGGGGGGGGGGGGGAAGAGAGACACAGAATGAGGAGGAGACAGCCAGAGTTCACAGGGAGGGAGGAAGGAAATGAAGGTGGATTTTACAGCTCAGTGTCGACACCCAGAAAGTTAACACTGCAGTGTTCTCTTCCTCTCCTTCCCCAGTCGCGATTTTCTTTCTCAGGAAATGGTTGGCTGTGTATGTCTTGTGGTTGCGACTTCTCCTGCTTGGCTGCACCAGCGTTTTCCTTTGAGTGTGGGTGGGCAGAGGGTGCTGGAGCAGAAGGAACACGATGCCCTGACCACCCACAGCAGGGGGCATGCAGCACCAGGGGTCGATGGTGCCTCCGCATCGCGCTCTGGCTTGCTGTCTTCCCTTGGCAGAGCAGGCGGGGAGTAATGGATACAGCTGTCATTTTGTTTGGTTTTGTTGTTTTAGTTCCTGGGGTGGGGGGGGGTAGTGGAGGGGCCAGAGAATCCTGCCAATTCGTCAATTTGTCTGCAAAGGAAACGTGGGTGTTCGGATGTCGGCCGCTTGCTGCTGGCAACTGTGGCGGCTGCCCCGCAGCGGGGCAGGGACGCGGTGTGGCCTGTTTATATATGTATATCTCTATATCTCTATATATATATGCTTTTTTTTTTTTCCTTCCCAGTCTCTCATCAGTGACAGTTTGTGCAGCTGGGACGTGGGTGTTGCATTGGAGAATCCAGAGTGAAGGCCCCTTCTTAACGGTTCTCTGGCTTGGCTTGGACTGGGAATGCCAGCATCTCCTCACGGAGGTCAGGATTCCTTGGGGGCCAGAGACAGAAGGGGTTGCAGAAGAAGGAGGAGAAGGAAAAAAGTTAGTAAAAAGTTGTCTTTCATGATGTGGCAAGGTGTTTGGGGACTTGGGGCAGTACAGGGATCTGTCTGAGGCCTCAGGGTCTCTGCCCAGTGGGTGAGGGCTGACTCACAACTACCTTAACTGCAGAACCCACAGGTGTCAGCTTTTTGTTGTTGTGGAGGTGGGTGGGGTGGGAGGAGGGGGTGGAGGAGGCCAGCTCTGTTCCTTTGGCCCAATTGTGCTGAGAGGCCCGCTGATCCTGGGAAGCGAGGATCCCTGCCGTTCCACTTTTCCTCGGCTCTCGACACTTGGAAATGTGTAGTCACAATGGCCCACACTCATTTTTTTCATTTGCTTTCTTTCTGGGCCTGCTGTGTCCTAGAGATTAATCCCTAGACAGCAGCATTTCAATAAAGAAGCTGGGGCCAGTTTCCAACTCAGGTTTGACTCAGTGTTTGACAGTGTGGGCTGGAGTTCACTTCATTACAATGTAAATAGATCAGAGTGACATGTGCAGTGAAGGCAATTCCTATCAAATACCAGTGACACTTTTCACATAACTAGCAAAAAACTAAAATTTGGGCCTGGCGGCGTGGCCTAGTGGCTAAAATCCTAGCCTTGAACGTGCTGGGATCCCATATCGGTGCCAGTTCTAATCCCGGCAGCTCTACCTCCCATCCAGCTCCCAGCCTGTGGCCTGGGAAAGCAGTCAAGGATGGCCCAAAGCCTTGGGAACCTGCATCCGTGTGGGAGGCCTGGAAGAAGTTCCTGGATCCTGGCTTCGGATCAGCATAGCATTGGCCGTTGTGCTCACTTGGGGAGTGAATCATTGGATGGAAGATCTTTCTCACTGTCTCTCCTCTCTGTATATCTGCCTTTCCAATAAAAATAAATAAATCTTTAAAAAAAAAAAAAAAGAAAAAACCTAAAATTTGTATGGAACCTCAAAAGACCCTGAGAAGTCAAAGTAATTGTCAATACTAAGAACAAAGCAGGACTTCAAAATAGACTATGTAGCCATGGCAATGAAAATGGCATAGTAACCTGTGTTACTATGGAAGAAGCTCCTGGCTCCTGGCTCCTGGCTCTGGATCGGCTCAGCTCTAGCCACTGAGGCCACTTGGGGAGTGAAGCAGTGGATGGAAGATCTTTCTCTCTGTCCCTCCTTCTCTCTGTAAAGCTACCTTTCCACTGAAAACAAATAAATCTTAAAAAAAGAAAAAAGAAAAAATACAAGTATTGGTGTGAATCTGCAGAAAGAACATGGTCAGTGGGAATGCAAATTGATACAGACATTGAGAGAAATATTCTGTATGCTCCTCAAAAATTAAAAATAGAACTACTGCGGCTGGGATGATGGCTCAATTGGCTAATACTCCGGCATCCCATATGGGCACCCATTCGTGTCCCAGCTGCTCCACTTCCAATCCAGCTCCCTGCTTATGCATCTGGGAAAGCAGCAAAGGATGGTCCAAAACCTTGGGACCCTGCACCTGCATGCATGTGAGGTTCGGAAGAAGCTCCTAGTTCCTGGCTTCAGATCAGCTCAGTTCTGGCTATTGTGGTCATTTGTGGAGTGAACCAATGGATGGAAGATCTTCCTTTTTGTCTCTTCGCTCTGTAAATCTACATTTCTAATAAAATCTCAAAAAAAAAAAATAGTGGCTAGCACCATGACACAGGGACTAAGCCACCTCCTGCAATATTGGCCTCCCATATAGGTGCCTGTTAAAGTCCTGGCTGCTCCAGTTCTAATCCACCTCCTTGTTAATGTGCCTGTGAAAGCAGAAGAAGGCCTGAATACTTGGTTCTCTGCACCCACATAGGAAATCTGGTAGAAGCTCCTGATGCCCAGCTTTTACCAGGAGTCAGCCCTGGTTGTTCAAAGCCATGTGGGAAATAAATCAATGGATTGAAGATCTCTCTGTAACTCTGACTTGCAAATAAATAAATAAGTCTAAGCGGAAAAAAAGGGAAGCTCTAGAGCCAACTGGAACAGGAACAGATGTTTCTGGAGGATTCAGGAAGGTGAGAGAAGACGAAGACCAGCAAGACAAATGTCTTTGCACAGTAAGGGACCGAAGTGGAGGGCCTGGCTTATGGGGGGACCTCACCAGTTAATGAATGATCACAGTAGTTCCAACATATGGATCAACTCCACTTTAAAGACAAGGAAACTGAGGCTCACACAATTACCAGGTGTTCTGGCCTCAAAGCTTGGGTGCGTTTTTTTCTACATGGTCTCATTTGGGCATCTTTCCTCTGGGGGAAACATGCTGCTCTGTAAGCTGGCTCAAGGATGAACAGAGTCGGCCAAGTTCTGCTTCTTGGGATGTGAGCTGTCGTTCTGAACCCTCGGAAGTGCCAGGGACCAGGAGACAACCCTGCATTCTCACCCATTCTCCTCTGCTTATGGCAGCACAGCCTCTCTGTGCAATATCTGGTTAGCCCTCTGGGAGCTGATGGCAACATCGCTCAGAAGGAACTTCCACTGGGCACTTTCCAGGTGGCAGACACTGTGCTAACATCATACACCTGTGTGTGCATGATCCCTGAAATCTTCCAAGATTTTGGGGAGGTGGGGGCAGGAAGTTAGGAGGTGAAGACCTACCAGCTGCCTCTGGGGTCCTGCAGCTGACTAACCCAGTGTGCACCCAGCTCCTGACCATGAGCAGCCCATGGGGCAGCTCTGAGCTGTGAAAGGAATGAGCAGGGCCTGGTGCATACACGCCCCTCATGGAAGGGTGATTCTCACTGCTACACCTGTCATTGCTACTTGGCTGATGAGAGAAGGAGAGAGAGAAAGATCTTCCACCTGCTGATTCACTCCCCAAATGGCCACAACAGCTGGAGCTGAGCTGATCCCAACACAGGAGCCAGGAGCTTCCTCCAGGTCTTCCACGTGAGTGCAGGGTCCCAAGGAGCTCAGCCATCCTCCACTGCCTTCTTAGGCCATAAACAGAGAGCTGAGTGGAAAATTGAGCAGCAAGGACTAGTACTTGTGCCAACACGGATGCTGGTGCTGTAAGTCAGGAGATGAGCCTGTTGAGCCACTGCACTGGCCCCAGAAGGGTGTATTCTAATTCAGAGATGTTTCCCCAGAGTCAGTGAGTTTCACTCCACGGAGAACTTGGCCGTAATGAATAGAAAAGCAGGTGGGTGGGAAAGGCCAGAAAGAAATTGCTGGCTATCTGAGGCAAGATAGACAAGGTGACTTTTACAGACAGTGGGGGTGTGGTGTTATGGGGGTGATGGCGTCATAGAAAGCTACAGAGAGGTGAAGAGGAGGGTGGAAGGCAGCAAGGGGAGCAGCAGAGTGGGCAGCTACAAAAGTCTCCCCAGAAGTGGAGAGGCAAACAGTACGTGGGGGCATGGACAGGTGGGAGCCTGGGGACTGGGCTGTGAATGTCCTAGGATAGAGGAGGAGAAATGAGACAGGCAGTGGGGCAGGGACGAGAAACAACACACCACAGACACCCTGGGAAGACAGAACTGCAGAGGGCTTGCTCCTCTCCCCACTTTGCAAATGAGGAAGTGTAGTGTCTGCTAAGGCAGACCCTAGTCCAGGGTTACAGCCTGACAAGCCAGTCCTGCCTCTCCCCTCACACGCCCTCAGCATTCACACCTCCTCCATCAGGCTGCATAGGGGTGCCCTAAAGACCCAAGAGCAAGGAAAGATCTTGGGCAGTGTGGGTCAAAGCACCCCTAGCCCAGGCAGCCCAGCATGGCAAGTGGTCTACTTTCTACTACTCTGAGTTCTGAGGGAGACAAAGCAAACCAAGTTACTGAGAGGGGCAGGGGTGGCCATTGCTTCTAGGGAAATCTGAGGAGAGCTGGGAGGCTGGCTCTGTGGGCAGCCAGTTCACCCTTCCAGAGCAGCACTGCCCAGTCCAGTGGATGGTGAGCTACAGAGACTAACATTTTCCAGAGAACAGACACCCCAAATAGCATTTCCACCAATGTCTGGAGACTTCCATTTTTTTTTCCTAAAATTTTCTACCTATGTAGAAAAATTTAATTTCTAAGTACAACTCTAAATTTTAATTTACCTTTAAAATACTTAAATTCCAGGTAGAATAAATTTCAGAACTATGTTTTCCTTAACCCAAGATATTATCATTTTAAGATATAATCAATATAGAAATTTATTGAGGAAGGGACGTGGAATGGGAATCCGAAGCCCCAGGCAGTCTGCCATCACTCATCTACCATGGTGGTCATGGCCCACAGGGGCACAGGAAGACATTCTGGCCCCCAGAGACGTGAAAAGCCAAGGGTCTGAGTACATCCGGACAGAGGGGACTTGCCAGGCTCTGGTCATCGTGGCTCTCAGCAGCATCCAGTAAGCTATGATGGACAGTCTCGGGGACAAGGGTTCTGGCTTCCAGGCAATGGCTGATGGGATCGTGTGTGCCTCCCCCTGTCGTCCTCAACCCTTGCCCTGCGCTGTCCTTCTGCTCTCTCCTTTTCTGGGTCTGGGTCTGGAAACCAAGGGAGCATTTTCCCCTTCCTTTTCCATTCTGGTGGAGCTGTGTCTCTCCTGTGGCCATAAGCCAGGAGGGTGGGAACAGGGGTGGTCAAGGCCACACTAGGGTCAGGCCGCCTGGATTCTCAGATGGAAGTTGCCTTCAAAGGCATTTGATGCTGCTCTCCCTCCCACCCTTCCCACCAGCCCACCACATGGCTGCTCAGCCCCAGGGCCTTCCTTACCTGTGGCTTCTTGTCCCTTTCCTCTGGGGACGGGTCTGTTTCTCTGTACACCACAGCTTTGGTCACCAGCATGTCGGGATGCTGCAGTTTGGCCTCCTTGATGGCCAGCGCCAGGGCCTAGGGGAGTGAGGCAGCAGGTTAGAAACAGCAGTGAAGTGAGGGGTTGGAAACTTCAGATACAGGAGAATCAGGGGGCGGAGGGGGGACAGCACCCCCTGGGTGCACAGCTGGGGAGGCTGAGTCCCAAGGAGGGGCAGTGGTCAAATGGTGAAAGACGGGGGAGGACGAGATTCTGGATGAGAGCCTGGATTTCCTAGCTCCTTCTGGCTCTCGTTTCATGCCTCTTCCAGTGGGGGGTGGACAACCTGAGCAGCACCCCAATACAGGAGGAACTGGGGACGGGGCCATCTAGGAGTTCCATGCCCTAACCCGTACCTGGTCTTGATCCACATCTTCGTCCCCTGTAATGATGATTCGCTTCTCGATCCTCGTCTCAGAAAACCCTCCCTTCACAGTCTGTAGAGGGAGAGGGAGTTCGGGTCACTCAGGCTGTGCTGGGGCAGCAGCTGTGACAGGGACCTCCAGGGGCTGCTCTCGAGGGTGGAGCTGAGGACCAGTACTTCTCTATCTATCCTCTCCTGGGCTCCCCGGGAGTGTGATGGGGGTCCTGTTTTTAGTTTTGGATCCCACTGCAGATCTCACCTGTTTGCTATCACTCCCTCAACTGCCCAGCTTTCCTGTCTCAGGTCTTCCCCGCCAAGCCCAGAGGCTGCCTGGCTGCCTGGTAACCCCTCGAGGCCTTCCTGCCCCGCTGGACTCTCCAGGGACCGAGGCTGTGTCTCTCCAGGCTCTAGGTCTCTCTGCTGGGTGCTGGCCTTCAGCATGTGCGTGGCCTTGCCCTGCTCACCGGGCTCTGAGCTTGGAAGGGCAGGGCCTATCTCCTGTCCGTCTCTGTACGCCCTTCCCCACTCTCTGCTGGCCCCTTGTCCAATGTGACCAGAGTGGTGCTGAATGCAGATTTGTTGAATGGACACATGAATGAAATGCAAATGGTGACAAGATTCTATCTTACATGACTCTGAACGATTTCACAAGAGAGAATCACATTGATGTTTCTTATTACCATCACTGCTGTCCAGTGGGTACAGGCTGGGTGCAGCTTGGGAAAAGGGGGGACTGACTTGCTGGCTTACTACAGGAGGACAGGGACAGGAGTGAGGAGTGGACAGAAGGAAGAAGGGGCTTGTGGTCAGAAGGAAGGGGAGCATTCTGGGCTGTTGCCCTGGGGACTGAGGTGTCAAGCGTTCTCAGAGCATTCAGAGCAGTCATGATGACTCGGGTGGTGGTGGGGAGAGAGGCATCTTTCTGGGGGAAGCTGAGGCAGTGCTGCAACACTGCCCAGGTTGTGGCAAGGGCTGTGACAAAGGCCTACTCCACCTCACCTGAGCTCAGCGTGACTCCTCCAGGCCTGCAGCGCTGACTGGGCACCAGCTGCCTGCCTCCTGGCTACGTGGGTGTGGCTGCATCGGTCAGCCTGCCTCCCAGGGCTTGCTTGACTGGATCCTTGGGAATGCCTTCCTGTTTTGGCCCTCTTTTTTCTGTCCTCTGCTAGGACTCCCACACTAGGGCCAGGCTCTCCAAAGCAGTTTGGCTTCATAATTCTCCCTCCTCTCTTCCCCATCTACCTGTCTGTCCTGGTAGACATGGTGCTGCCCCCTCATATCTGTTTTTAGTGGGTCCCTCCCCAACTTAGAATCCTCCAAGGCTCTGTGAGTGTCCCTAGACTCACTTCCTCCACAGTTATAGTTCTCCTAGCACCTGTATCATCGGCCTCTGATGGTGTTGCTCCTGCCTCAGGGCCAACTCAACTGCCCAGTTCCATGCCCTGACAGCTGCAAGTGTGCCCAGCTCATACCGTGTCAAGCAGCCCCATATGGCAGCCAACATGCGCTTGGCAAACATACAAGCGAGTGCACAGATTTCACTCTGCCTTCCACTTTGTTTAGGGCACCTGCCACCACCTCCTCCTCCAGAGGGGGAGTCCTAGCTGGCTTCCTGAGACCCTGCTCAAAGCCTGAATATGCCAGGAGGGGAGGCTCCCACATTATCACTTCCTCTAGATCCCTCCAGGACTGAGGGTTTACAAGGACACCTCAAAAAGTTCATGGGAACATGGGAGTTAGAGGAGCAGGTGACTTTGATGCAATCTACTTTGAAATCCATGATGATTTTTAAGAATAGTATGCATTTTCCCATGGACTTTTTGAAGACCTGAGGTGCAAGGCACATACACCAGGGTCCACAATAACTGAAACAGGCAGCAACTTGTCTCCCCAGCCCAGTAAACACTGTCATGAGGGCAGGGCTTGGCACAGGGCAAGGCACATGGAGCGACAGCCAACGCCACAGCTCTTCTCCATCTGCCTTGCAGATGGCTGAATCCAAGCACAGCCCTGGTGGTGACCTTCCCACCTTACAGCTGGGCTGGGGCCCAGGGCACCTGCTGCTACTCACTTTGGTAACATGGGTGGTGGTGGAGGTGGAGAGGGTTTCCGCAGTGGCGCCGTAGGTGCTGGTGAGGACATCTTTCCCGATGATCTGCAGAATACAACCACCCCCCACCCCGGGCATCAAGTGAGGGCTCTGGGCTCTGTACGGGTGGGGGCACAAAGAGAAACCAAGCGAGGAGCAGGGACCCTGGGCAGATGAGGCTAGAGGCTGAGATGCTCTGAACTTATAAGAATTTGAAACTATTGGAATTGTCTGAATCCAAGACCCATACAAGTCTCAAAACCCTGGAACCTGAGTTTCCTAGATCCTGAGTCCCGGAATCCTAACAGTACTCTAGAATCAAAGAACCATGGAATCTTAGAAAAAATAAATGGAGGGATCTGAGGTAGAAGCGAAGCCCTCCAGACCCAACTTCCCCAACCTTGTCACAGCCAGGAACACACCCTCTCTAGGGCTAGACCAGAAGAACAAGTCTTAGAGAAAGCAAGAGCTCGAAGAGACCATTTAGCAACAGACTCTGGGCCCCAGGGAAGATCCCGTAGGAGCAGACCCAGAATGCAACCTCTGGACCACCAGTCCAGGGCTCTTCTTGTGTTCAGTGGCGAGGGCAGGTGTAAAAATGCAGCCCCAGGCACCAATAAGATGAGAGGCTGCTTCATGCCCTCATTGGAGTGCCTTGTTGATCTGGGTGGGGGGTGGGAGAGCAGAAGGCAGCTGATGAAATTGTGTGGGCATCTGCAAGCAACCCAGTTTTCTGGTCTTATCCTTTAAAAAAAGCAGGTGGCTCAGGGCTCCATGCTCTACTTGCTGCGGGCCTACGTAGCCCACGTCCTCAGCTTGGAGTCCCTTAGTCTGAGCTGGTCCTGCCCACTTACCGGAGAAAGAGAACGGATTTCCGTGGCCACCGTCTGTGGGCCTGGGATCATGGCAGCTGCCCCCTTCCCGGACTTGAGACTGTTCTCCTGGGAAAACAACAGTGCTCAGATGGCCAGGTCTCGGGTGGGCGGGTCCCCAGGGTGACTGCAGCACATGGCCACATGGCTCCTATGGCCACGAGGTTGAGTCGCACTGCTCACTCTCTTCTCTCATTCGTTGCTCGCAAACTCGTTCACACACTCATTCATCCAAAGGCTGTGACGGAGGGCCTGGTGTCAGGGACAAGGTACTGAGCAAGCTGTGGCACTGCTCCCCTCAAGTCCTGACGGACAAGCTGAGACACTCAGGGGTCTGCCTGTCCCCATCCTGCCATTCTAGCCATGTGACTTTGCAGGGGTCACAGCTGCTTTCTCTCTGTGGGTCTCATGGATTTGGCTTTAATAAGGGGGCTCCCTGCCCCATTCCCACAGGGACCAAGGGAGGTTGATAGAGGAAAAGAAGCTCCCCATCCTCAAATCTGCAAGAGACAACCCGGAATACAGGCAGCCAACCTAATAATGTCTATTTTTATATCTCTGCTGTAACTTGACTGTTTTAAAAAATTATTTCTTAATACTTAACTATTTTCATCTACTTTTAAAGACAGAGTGACAGAGAAAGATCTTTCATCCACTGGTTCATTCCCCAAATGCCTACAACAGGCAGGGCCAGACCAGGTCAAAGCCAAGAGAGCGGAACTCTACCCGGTCTCCCATCTGGGTGGCAGGGACCTAAGTGCTTGGGCCATTAGCTGCTGTCTCCCAGGACATATTAGCAGGAAGACTGAATTAAAAGCAGAGCAGCATGGATTCTGCTATTGGATGTTGGTGTCCTGAGTGACGTCTCAACCCACTAAACCACAGCACGCAGTTACCATCGTTTTCCGAGTCCTTGCCAAGTGCTTGAATGTCACATGTATTATCTTGTTCAGTCCTCATGACAAACACAGAAAATGTCTCTACCTTACCCTGGAGGACTAGAGAGCACTAAGTGGCTTTCTCAAGTCCTCCAGGCAGAAATTGACTTGGCATCTGTGAGGCCCGAGTGCCAGCACTTCACTTCTGCAGCTCTCACCCGCAGCCAGTGGCCCTGCTACCACCTCAGGTTCTAACCACTGTGTCTTCCTGGCAGTGCCATTGAGCTTGGTGCCCGCACACCCCCAAACATTGGGACAGGGCCTGGCTTCCACTGCTGCTACCTGGGCCCCAGGGCCCAGTCTTGTCTGCCCAGCGGTCATCAGGTGCTCTGTCCTTGAATCCCAGTGCTGCCATGTGCCTGATGCTGTCTCTGGACCTCTGTTTTGCCCTTCACAATCAATAGCCTCCCAGACACATTCCCCTATAAGGGCCGCACAGGCACCTCCTGGATAGAATGTGCTGTTTCCTCCAGCTAGCACACTCCTGTCCCCTAGGTACATTCTTCTGCCACATGTTGTTCCTGTTGGTACCTCTCAACTTGAGGAGCTCACCTGGCAGGTTCAAGGGACCTGAAGCTGGGTTGAGCAGTGCCATCCCGACAAGTGGCTGAGACCATGCTTTGGGAACTGGTGGCTAACAAGCAGCATTTGTCTTCTGTTGCCTGAATCTTTTACCAGGGACCAAATCCTGCCTTTCCCTCCCGGCATCCTCAAGCCCGATCCCTGCTCTGTGGTCACCTCCTTGCCCTGCCCTGGTTGGAACCTAGTCCCTCTGCTAGCTTCCTGCCTTCTCTCTGCTTCAGGACTGGATTCACAGGGCCTGGCAAAACATGTTGTATGACATGGGCATTTGACACATGTCTACCTAGGAAAAGAAGCAAGGAGGGAAGTGGAAAGGAAGGAAGTTCTGGCTTAGTCCGTGTTTATCTCCCCAAAACACAGAAGCCCCTATTTGGTGATGTCATGCCTTAACGAGTGAATGACTCCTCCAGTTTCTGGAATGAAGCTGTGAGCTGGTATGTGACGAGCTGCAGCCAAGTCTTTCTCGGTAGCCCCTTCCTCTTCTGCTCCTCTTTCCTCTTGTGTGCACCTGGCCCTCATCTTTCTTGTGGACCACTCAGCTTCTCCCCGACAGGCTCTGCCTCCTCACCCCTTGGCCTTTGTGTTGCCACTCCCATTTCCTAGACAGCCTTCTCCCATGACTGCCCCTGGTTCTCTGCACCACTCCCCCATAACTCAGTTACACCTTCACTGGCCCCTTCTGGCAGAAGAATCCTCCCTGCGGTTCTCAGAAGAGCACCAGCAGCTCACAGCCTCAGTCTTCTTGTTTGCCAGGCATGAGTCTTGGGCTGGGCCCATGTTACTGAGGCTCATCCTCATGATGACCCTTATGTACATGTGCTCTCACTCCATTTTACAGCAGAAGAAACTGAGGCTTGCAGGAGTTTGGCTATAACTTGCTCAAGGTCACCCAGTTGGGAAGTAGGAAAGGTGGGCCTTGTTCACCACTGTGTGCCCAGAGCCTACACATGGGACCACTTTTATGTGGGTACTTGCAGTGATGACGTGAATGAATGGGACCTGGCAGGCAGTGTGTTCCTTCACCTCGATGTCCCTTGGGCAGGCAGACAGAAGGGACTGATAGATGTTTCTGGAACAAATGGATGAGTGTGCAGATGAATGGATGAGTACATGAATGATGTAACATTGCTCACCAGAAGAGTGAGTTTGAAGTTAACCCTAACAGCATCCCAGTGCCCCATGGGAAAAGGCTGAGGGGAGTATGAGGAACTGAGGAAGCAGGAAGAAACGTGTGTAAGCTGGGTACCAGTATGGGCTCCTCAACTTTGGAGTCTTTGTTCATGCAAGACTGACCTGCTATGTAGTCTAAAGTAACAGAATTCTTTCCCTTGGGGAGAGCATCAGGGACTTGGCAGGAAAGGGAATTTTGCAGATGTGCTGCTCATCAGATTGAGCAGATGTGACATGGGGACCTCTTCCTTCTCCAGCCCCAACTCCCATCCCAGCCCCAGGTGGTGGTATCTGCAGTGGTCAGGGTGAGGGAGCAGGGTTAGAAGCGGGGTGGGCCCCTGAGATATGAAGGCCTGGCTTAACCTGGCACTGCCTGGGAGTGAGACTTCTCTGAATGTCAGCTTCCTCGTCTACAGAGACTATAGAAGAAAGTACAGCCCCACTGTCTTGGTAGGGAGTCTGACAGAACATCCCCTCTGGGTTTTTGGTCCACGGCCTGGCACGGTAGCCAGAGCTCTGGCTGCTATCTCACTTGGCTCACTGTTAAAGTACCTGGGGCTTCTGGAGTCTCTTAAGAGCCCAGGAACCAGGCAGAATGGGGGATCTTCCCAATTTAGAGATGAGGCCCGGGCAAGGCCCTTCCTTCCTGGCTCAGACAGCAAATAAGCAGTAGAACCACAAGGCCCTTCAGGAAGTCCCTCAAAATGTTGCTTCCTACTCAGGGTCACTGCTGCTATTTACTGACCAGGGCAAGGAAGTGGCTCAAGCCGCCAGGAAAGGGTACTCCACAAAGATTGGCTCAGTTGCATCCAGGAATCCCAAGCTGAGGTGTGTGTGGCAATGATGCAGGGGCACCACTCACTGCCCTCTACCCTGTGAGGCTGGGCCTCATGGACTCCACCCCTAGAGGAGTGCACTGCAAAACCGTGATCTAACTGTGATGAACACTGTGGACTGCCCCACCCGAGGCCAGGAGGCTGGCGAGTCAGTGAGCTGGCCAGTCACTGGGTGCATGGGGGAAGGTGTCCCATGGGGGGACTTACCATGGTGGTGGATATGGTCTCTGTGGTGATGGAGGGAGTGGTGCTGATGAGCTCCTTCCCCATCAGGGCACTCCCATCGACCTGCCAGCCAGAGGAGGAGTTGTCTTAGAGCCAGAGCACCTGCAGCATGTGCCACCTGGCCCATGGCATTCCCAGGGACAAAATGCCATGCCACAGGGGTGAGCATGAATTGGGACAGTCTACACCAAGCAGTGGAGTAGCCTCATGGACCCTCTACTTCGTTTCTACCATTGTGTTGGACAAAGCAAAAACAGTCATAGGACAAATTCTACCCAAAAATCCATGTGTGCAATCTCTGACCCTAGGAATTTACTCCCTGGGTAACAACATGGAAAAGGTTGCCAAGATGTGTGAACAAGGAGGAGGTTCATGGTAGCAACTGGGCATCATTTTTAAGAGAGAGAGGCAGGAGTCTGGCCTCATGGTTAAGATGCCCAAATTTGATTTCTAGTTCTGGCTCCTGATGCCAGTTTTCTGCCAGCACAGACCAGGGGAGCACGTGGTTAAGGCTCAAGTAGTTGAATGGTGTTTCCAGCTTTTGCTGTGGCCTCAGCTCAGCCCCACCAGCTGTTGTGGACATTTGGGGAAGGAGCCAGTGGATGAGAGTTCTCTCTGTATCTCTTTCTCGCTCTGACTGCTTCTCTCTCTTTTTCTCCCTCTCTCTCTCTCACACACACAAACTTAGTAAAAAATTGCTATCAGAAATAGTCACAGGGACCACTGACAGGGGACAGCAAAACAAAACAGGGCTTTCTTCCTAAATGGTTCTAAGGATGGTGAAGGGTCCACATATGTCAATAACAAGTGATCTCATTATTCAGGAAAATAGGCAGGGTTTAAAAGAGGACAATCGGGGTTGTGGTGTAAAACTGGTGCCTGCAATGCCAGCATCTCATATGGGTGTTGATTTGTGTGCCAGTTGCTCCATTTTTGATCCAACTCCCTGCCAATGTCCTGGGAAAGCAGTGGAGGATGACCCAAATACCTGGGCTCCGGTACCCACGAGGGAAACCCAGAAGAAGCTCCTGGCTCCTGGCTTCAGCCTGGCCCAGCCCTCATCATTGCAGCCCTTTGAGGAGTGAACCAGTGGATGGAAGATCTGTGTCTGTACCTCTCTTTCTCTCTCTCTCTATAACTGTCATTCAAATAAAATAATCTTAAAAAAAAAGAGGGTGATCATGTTTATGTAAAATTTTCTAAGTGTATAGAGATAAAGGTATCTATATTGTCATATGCATAAATATTTTTCTAAGTGGCATAAGAAAATTTTCATTTGCTTTTCATAATGGAATATTTTTGTTTTCATATCAGTAAGGGTTACTGGGCTGTGCTGGGATTGGGGGCCATTTAATTTCCTTATGCATTTCTGAATGAAAACCCATGTTAGCAGTCAAAGCAGGTCAGAGAGGGAACAGCTTGCTCAAGGTCTCATAGCCCAGAAAAACTCAAGGCTCTTGGCCTGCCCTTTGCAGCTTCAAAATCTCCTACAACCCAATTGTGAACAGGGGAGAAATGATTCTGAAACAGCTGCCTACATGGTGTTGGTTTGCATCTCATTTCAGTTCTAGAGATAAGGATAGAACTTAGGGCAAAAAACGCCCCCAGCCTGAGCTCTTCTGGCCAGAAAGAACCAAGAGACCACCTGTCAGGCCCCCATGTTCATCTTCAAAGCCAGGGGTCACAAAGGCAGCGAGAAACACCTGGGCTAATGCACCTGTGTCCCTCCATGACGCATTTCTCCAGGGTGCTGAGTGGCCTTCACCTTGCTAAGACAAATGACTCTTGACTGTGCACTTGTTGAACCCCCACACGTAGAAATGATCCTAGGTAAGCTGTTCTGACCGAAGTTGGGTTACCATCGCTTTGTCTTCTCTACCCCCAAGCAGCTGAAAACCAGGTTCCCAACCCTTTAACCATTCTTCTTTCCAACACTCCCAGAACAAAGGGGAGACAGAACCAGCACCATTCTATAGTTGGAGGCAGCAAGGTTTTCAGAGCCGTGGTCTAGCCAGGACAAGAACCTAACCCACTCTGAGTCCCTGGAGTTCAGATGGGACACTGAGGCTCTAAAGAGCATTGGAATCAAGGCAGGGACTTTGGGAAGTTGGGATGGAACAGCAGAGGCAACCTACAGCCCTGAGGCCCATACTCTGCGAATTGGGGGGACATAGGGTACCTGGGTGCTGTCTGCAGTGGAGATTCTGCTCTGCAGCACGACTTCCGGCTCGATCTTCTTCCTAATGGCCAGGCTGCTAACCGTCATGGTCTCTGTCTTCACGGGCTGTAAGGAGACGAGGAGGGAGGATGCTCCATGATGCAAGCCAGCATGACTCTGTGTGGTGGTGGGGTGAGGCTGGCAGGCTGCTTCCTGTCCCCAGAGCTGGCAACTCTCTGGTACAGAGCACAGGTTAGGGCAGAGGAGGGTGTGGCGTGATGGCTTAGACACACAACCCAGGAGGGAGCCAGCACCAGTGCTAGACAGGCCTGCCCCAACCACCTCAGTACAGCTATGGACCGGGCCTGGAGGCCATCACCGACAGCACCTGCTATTCCAGAGACATTATGTGCCAGCCCCAGGATGAGGGTTTTCCTTATGCACACCATGTCCCTGAGTCCCTTTCAGATGTCCCTGTTTAAGATCTGCGCCCCGCCCTCCCACCCCCAGCTGCTCTGTTATGAATTATCGTTTACAGTAGGAGCCACCCAAGGGGATGGAGACTCTAATGAGGGGAGCGGACATGTCAAGCACTGGGGCAAATGGAGAGCACGTGGGCTTTCATGCAAGCTGGGGCCAGTTGTAACCACAACCTGGGAGTAAATGGACAGTCTCACTGATGTAAGCAAAACTCTGGATTTTACATTTGCTTTCCTGACTTCTCAACCAGAGTCAGAGGAAGCCAGCAGGGTCCACCCTCTCCACTTCACACATCCTAAATGGTCAGTGTCCTCCATGTTCTTCCTTGGGCCTCCTTTGCATCTGTGCCGAGTGCAGGCGGGAACATGCCATAGCCGGAGGATGGATGAGAGCTATCTTGCCATCTGGTGGCCACTCATTCAATCATCTCTTAATGCCCAATAGATCTTCAAAAAGCTCATGGAAAAAGCACTTTTTTTTTTTTTTTTTGCAGCAAAATAAACTTACCTTTTAGTCTCATATTTCCATGAACTTTCTAAAGAAACATGGCCTGAGCTGAGGCTGGGGGAGCTAGCCCCAGCAGGATGCTGACTTGGCGGCCCTGGATAATGTCAGAGCAGACGCAGTGCAGGATATGGCAATGCCTCTGCCCAGGAGGTCAGGGGTGCACCTACTAGGAACCTTACACCCGAACTCCACTATGGAACATGCTACATTTGCAAGGCACACAAAGATAGGATAAACCCTGTCCAAAGAGGGTACTTCATGGACAGAGAATCCCCAGTGGATGAGCTGATAGCTCAGTGCTTGGATCGTGGGAGAGGGAGGCTGGGGTATGAAACATGGGGGCCCAGGAAGAACATGCATAGAAAGAAATTCCCCCAGAGGTTTCCTGGCAGCTCTATGGACAAGAGTCACATAGCAAAGAGGGCCAGGTCCAGGCTGCCCCCATGTTCTTCTCACCGACTACATCTTCTGTACCCTGAGAACCCCAGGGCCAGGTAGATTTCAACAGCCACTCCTCCCTCCCTGCTTGCCAGGAAGCCCAGGCCCTAGGCATGAGCCTGGGTTTGAATCAGGACAAACCAATGATGCTTTAAAGCCAACTGTGCTCAGACACGTGCTCGGAGCGGGTGCCATGCAACATGGGTGGGGAGAGGAATCCGCTGCGGCCAGCCTGCCTGGTACCACTTGACCTCAGCAAGTGATGAGGAGCCACAGGGTTAAAATGCCAAGGAGTGCTTGTTAGAGGTGACTGACAAGGTACACATGCGTGCGCAGAGCCATGCTGGTCTGCAGGAGAGGGGTACATCATGCAACACAGAATGGAGCTTCCAGGTTGAGGCCGGCCATTTCGTTTTCTCCTTCCAGGCCTGAGGCCCTTGGAACATGCAGTGCCTAGGTGGACCCGTGTCTTGACGAAGCTCCACTGTACCTCAAACTGGGGCATATCCGGGGTGGAACAGGCCCCACGATCTGGGCTGTCCTCGATGTCCCCGGACTCCTCATCCTGGCTGGGGGCCCCCTTGAGGTCCCGGGCGAACACCAAGCCCTCGGTGTCTGAGTCGCTTTTGTCCCGGTCGAGCTCGGGCAGGCTGCGAGAGAAGTCCTCGAAGGCGCTGCTGTGGTAGTCGCCGATCACCGTGAAGTCCACCTCCGCTTCCAAGCTGGACGTGGAGCTGACTGTGATGCTGGAGCACTTGCGCTCAATGGCCAGGTGGTTGTCCTTCACAAACACTGCGTCCCGCTCCTGGTCCTGGTCCTCATCGCCTGTGTCACTCTCGGGGGCCCGAGGATGCGGCGGCTTGACTTTGTCCTCTGAGCCCTCCCTCAGCCCAGCTCTCTATGACCGGAAAAAATCAAAGGCATGCGGATGTAGGGTAGGGAGGGGGTGAGGGAGTGAGAGAGAGAGAGAGAGAAGGGGGGGGGGCGGAGAGAGGGAGAGAAGGAAGAGATCAAGTTGGTGAATGTCGAAGAAATCTTGGGGCCATGCTGACGGACTTCCGGAACTGAAGAGCAGGTCAGGAAATGAAAAACACCCCCCAGGAAAGGCTCCTGGAGATATAAACAACCTTCAGCCCCAAACAAAACCTTCTCAGGAGTGGAGGTGCTCCTTCCTGAGGGGCTCACATGGATGGCAAAAGCAGGTACAAAGCACACAGCCTGCCCGTGTGGGGCCTGGACATCAGGCTTCATCCACGGTCTAGATCCAGGAGCTCAACAGAAGCTGCACTGGGCACGAGGCAGAGATGGACGCCTGGAGCCCAGGTCCATCCGTGCAGGGAAGGATGGCACCAGGGTACAAACCAGGGGGCGAGATCAGGGCTCTGGGGACAGGCAGTAGAGAGGCAAGAGCTGAAAGCTTTGAGGCACAAGGAGAAAGCGAGCATGGGTTTGTCAATTCCACTGAGTCTCTGTAAGGGTGGGGCCGGGTTGGGGGACATCCAAGTAGAGAGAGGAACATAATGGGGTCAGACCCCTGGGGCTGGGAGCTACTTGGGTTCTATCCCGGGCTCTGTGAGTAGTGGTGCCGTCAGTGCAATTGACAAGAGCAGCACAAGGAGGACCAGCAACTCTTGTCCGACATACATACCTCTCAACTGGCCTGTGAGCAATCTGACACCGCACACGCATGTCTTTGGCTATGACTTTTTTTTAAAAAAAGACCAATCTAATCCCCACAAGATATTTTTAAAGACCTTGGCTCCAGGATCTAGAGACTCGGTGTGCATGGAAATTCATTGGCTAAGTCTCCGCTCAGCTTCCAGCTGCTGGAAAGTTGGCAGAGTGAGGGGTACGTGCCAGACAAGCTGGAGTTGAGCAGCCACAAGAGGTGCTGCCATAGCACTTGGGGGACCTCAGACAGCGAGGCATCCTGGCCTGGTGACGGTCAGCGGGACCGTGCTCGTATACGCGGGGGCTGCAGAGACCTGGGGGCCCGAGAGGCTGGCACGTCCCAGGCGCACCCCCTTGCCAGGGGCGTTGGCTGCCCAGCCGGTGTGGCTCTTCTCTCCCCTGACCGCATCTCCGGGCTTGCTCTGGATTAGAGAAGACAGTTAGTCTTACAGAGGCACTGGCAGGCACTGAGAGGGAAGCAGAGGTGAAGGATGGAGTAGATTTCCGGACTGTCAGTTTTCGCGAGGCAGGAGAAACAGGGGCGGGAGAGGATGAAGGAAGATCATCGGACCAGCCAAGCAAGACAGGTGGGAACCTAGCGGGTGGGGAGCAGCAAGGCAAAGCGAGAGTGTCATCTGCTGGTGATGATGCCACCTTCTCCAAGAAGCAGACCCTCCGGGTGACAGGGTCGCACCAAAAGCTGAGGGTCTTTGTAGCCAAACGGATGAGCCTGGGCTATCCTCGGGCCTGCTTGGGGAGAATAACTCCCAAATGTGGTGGGGAGGGTTCAAGCAGCCCCTGATTGCAATAATGGCCATGCTTCCAGAGCGCTAGAAGCGGGGCTGCGAGGGTAGGGTTGGGGCTCACGTGGCCGGTTACCCCGGGCGTGTCCTCTGGCGCGGCTTCACAGCCTGAATCAGGGGACGCTAATTCTGTGCACACTTCCTGGTGCCAACTGGTGGAATTGTCTCTTCCTGTGGTGTGCCTAGTGATTAGAGGCTTGATGGAGGCAGGTGTGGCTCTGGGGCTGGCCAAGTCGCCTGGGGGCTGAAGCTGGACAAAGCCCAGGTCTAAAAGCTTGTTCCGCTGCTGTTGTTCCACCTGTCCCATGGGCAAGTCTGGAGACAAGTCACGGGGAAAGACTCTCATTTCAAGCTGACTTGCTTGGCAAGGTTCGGCTCCGTGAGTCTCAAATATCCGGATTTTGTTGGCCACTGAGGTTTTGCTGATATCTTCCAAGGAGCTCCCCTGGCCCCCTGCCTGGAAAGAGGTTGTCTGTGCTTGCTTTGCCAGGGCCACGGCGCCAGCCTGGGCTTCTACAATGCGAGGCTTTCGGCTGGCCACGGGTGGTACCCTGCGCTCGCCTCTGGAGTCACGGGACCCAGCAAGGTCCGTGGGCTTTAGGACCTGTGTGAGCAGTGCTGGGGCCTGGTCCCCAAGCCCTGAAGGCTCCCCTGATGTGTGAAAGGGTAGGCTTGAACAGGCTCTCCCCAGAGCTGCCAGAGCCTCCAGGTGCTCAGGAGAAGCAGGTGGGGGCTTAGTGGCTTCACAGCTCTGTGGCTCAGGGCTTGTGGGCTGGGTACGAATCACTGGTTCTTCTTGGGGCTGAGAGTTGCCTGTGTCCTGCCTGGCTGGTTTCCCAATGTCAGGAGGGGTGGCCCATGGGAGGACATAGCCCTGGGGGCCTGGGAGCTCTCCCTTTCTCCTGCCTGCTGGGGGGCTCTGGTCAGCCTTCATTACCAACTCTGCACAGCTGGGGGTATCCTCTTGGGGTTCAATGGCTGCTGGGCCGGTAAACTCTGTCTCTACTTCCCGCTGTACTTCCTCTTGGTCCTCAATGAACCTGTGTCCTACAGAAGGTCCCTTCAGGCCCTCGGGTCGGCCACGGCTCTCAGGGGGCTTGGCCTGCTCCTCCTCCAAGGAGACCACATAGGCTTCACCCTTAGACGCGCTGGCAGCTGCGGCAGACGTCCTCAGGTTTGGGGGCTCCTGTAACGGCTTGGGCCTGGCCTCCCCTCCAGGTGGGGTGTCCAGGTGCTCTGCTCTCTCCCCCAGAGCCTGAGGCAGGCCTTGGTCTTCCTCTCCATAGTTTAAATAGAAGCTCCTCTCTGCCAACGAGGTGTCGGTTTCGTCGCTGGAGTCGGCCCTGGCGTCTGTGTGTGCTGGATCTAAGAGGAACGACTGGAGGCCTCCCTGGTCGGAGGCTGGGGAGGGGACATCCACTTCTACGGGGCTGGTCCCCAAGGCGGGGAGCTTCCCTAGCCCCTTGCGCGGTGCTGTCTGGCTCCCTGGCTGACCCCGAGGAAGAGGGTCACAGTGGTTCCTGAGGGCTGCCTCCCCATTGCTCACCTCGAGCTGGGAGCCCTCCACAGGTTGGTCTGCCATTGTGCAGCCAACAGCCAGGGTGGTGCCCCCTGGGCTCGCCCTGCCCCAGGGGCCTTCCCTCCACAAGGACTCAAAGTCCTCAGGGCTTGCGATCATCCTCCCTCGTTGCTGGGTGCTTGCCCTTCCAGCTGTCACCATCTCTTCCATGGCCACTTCAACTTTGAACTTGTCCACCAGGATGTCTACCTTGGAGAGTCTGCCGTTGGTGAGGACATCTGCAAAGCCGGCCTCACCTTCTTCCTGCTGGACGGCGGCCACTTTGAGGAGACCAAGTTCTTCTGGCCTAGTGTACTGCCTTTCTATAAATACCCAGGGCTCTGAACCCTGAGTTGCAATCGGAGCAAGAAGAGTGAATGGAAATATCAGGCATCTGAAGCATGGTTCAGATTCTCCCTCTGTCAGAAGGGACTATTCTACCACTGGGAGCTTCTGCCTGTCACCAGGGCCAACCCGAGAGGAAAGTGGGACAGTATCCAACATTCTCATCAAGGCTACTCTTCCCAGCAAACGAAGCAGCTCCTCAACTCACCCCCGCCCCTAGCTGGACAAAGTGGGATGGGACCCCGGGTTCCCCTCTTCCACCTTGCCACAGGGCAACAGAAGAGATCCAAGGATAGGCCAGAACTCTCCCAAGACCAGTGATGCCAACCGCCACTGTCAGCAGGGAAAGCAGCCCACAGTCTACGGAATCTCCGGGTTCTCAGATCTGGACTCATTCTCTCACTGTGTTCACAGGGAAATGGATGCCTAGAGAAGGCCAGTGACTTGCCTCAGGTCACCATTAGCCGGTGGTGGCAAAGTCACAAAGAGTCACAAAAGCCCAGGCTTTGGACACCTGGGCTCTTGGCTGACATGGGAGAACGTGGGTGTCCACTGCAGCGTGGAATGTCAGCTTAAGGGGCGACGTTAAGAGCCATGGGTACAACCTGAATTGTTACCTTCTTACAAGACTTCTGGAAGGAAACGTACCAGCCAACTGCCAGAGAAATACAAGTCGCCATCATGGCTTAACCAGCTTGAGCACCACAGAGAAGCCCTGCCCTTGGAGAATTCCCATGGAACTCACCCATGGAAAGTGTAGGAAAGAACTGTCCAGAAGGAGACAATATCAAGGTGTGAGCGGGACCGTGGGGGGGGGTGGTTGGAAATTGAGTGCTGTGCTGCCCCCCTTGCTTGCTGCCAGGGGAGGAACAACAGATGTTGAGAAATCATTGAGAAAAGTTTAGAAAGCAGGAAGGCCACTGGCATTCTAATGTTCAAGAGGCCACAGAAAACTCTGCTCCCACAAAAATCTTCGTGGAAATTGAATGCCCAACATAAGCATGGGGCTGCCCTGGTGAGGCTGAGGGCCTGGGGCCACTCTCAGAGAGTCCACCTTCCTCTAGACCCACAGCCCTTGGGACACAGAGACAGCCACGGAAGCCCAGAGGAGGAACATCCAGGTTGTTGCAAGCCTGGAACCCACCTCCGAATCCCAAATTCTGTGATGGGTGTTCACCTCATCATGACCACCTCCACACCATAAGACATGCCAAAATGCATTCCTGTCAATCTGAGGGGCACGGGTTAGGTGGCCCTGGGCTGCCTCTTAGGGGAGGGACTCAGTCAACCTCACTCTATTGAGATAAGTTTGTCAGATCCTACAGGATCCAAAAAAGGGATCTTGACAGTTGAGGGAGTGTAGTAAACCCTCTTTCCACTTGATGTTAAGAGCACTTTGCCTATGGAAAGAGAGAGGGGAGAGGGAGAGTCCAGCAGGGGCTTCTGAGATCTCTCTTCTGCTTAGTAAGCTACCCTGGGTGGAGAACGCTCTCAGAGGCTATAGGAGCCAAGTCTTCTTCTCACTGCCTTTGGGAGGCAAGCTGCTTTCACGGTGTCCGCCTGATCTTCAGTTGGGCCATGCAGGCCAAAGCTGACCAACGAGGCCCCTTCTGCAACCTTCTCACCTCATAGCTAAGCAGCCTTCAGGCTGACAAGGCCTAGCATAGAAAGGGAAGAAAGATTCTGCAGGAAGCCAAGGGAAGCATGTTGTGACCGCCAGTCTAAGTTAACAACATTTCATTGGATCGGTAACCTGACACAGGCATTGTTATCCTTATACCAGAAGGGGAAACTGAGGCTCTCGGGGAGGTGGGTACGGGTGGAGGGTAGGGAGCAGTGGTGGAGGGGCTGGGAATGGAGAAGGGACTCTGCTTTTCCCAAGGAATACAGACATCTAGGATCCAGAAGAGGAGAAAGGACTCAACAAAAGGCAGAAGAGCGATGCTAGCACAGAGGCAGTGGTGGAGCCACACGTGGGCTGGGGTTGGTCTCAAAGGCACTCACTCAAAAGTCAGCAGGGATAAGGACAACTGCCAGGGCAGCACCAGGTTGTACTGCCCGGCAGCCAAAGAACTTCCATGCCTTGCTCAGAGTGCCCCCTGCCGCCAGTTTGGAGTACTGCTGCAAGAGGAGCAGAAGTGGGATTGAGGAGGGGTAATGAAGCCATTCCCACTGGACTGGAGAAGCAGTCTGAGCAGAATGGGTGCCCGCGGCAGGAGCCAGCTGATCCAGAGAGCAGCTTCTAGTGCCAGATAAAAACATGGCGACTGAGATGGAAGAAAAGGTGGGCCAGTGTTATGTACAGTGTGGGGCATAGTAATGAACAGCTGGCAGGGAAGCTGGTGAGGTTGTGGGGCATTGCAGAGAGCTGGTTCTGCAGAGGCCCATACGCTCCAAGGCATCACTATGACCTTGTCCTTGGAATACTGCGGACTCCTGTCTGAGCTCCCTTAAGAGACCAGTGCTGGTGGCTGCATCTCTACACCAAGGAAAACTGCAGAGTACATGCTGCCCTCCTCAGCTGACTCTGGTCAGCCTTGTACTTCTAGTCCAGGCAGGCAGCTCTGGAAGCCTTCTTTCCTCAGAGTTGGACTCCCCCACACCCACACCATGCCTGATGGCCTGAGAAGTCCCAGCAGAAATAGGGGAGCAGGCCCTGGATCTGCCACCTGGCCCCCATGCAGGGCCACAGCCTGCTCCCTGGAGCCCTCGGCCTGTTGCCCTGCAGCCCCCAGAGACAGTACGCTGTCTGTCACAAACACCACCTGAGCACTTTCTCTAGAGCTCCCTGGATATTCCTCAAAGAACGATGCCTATTTCTGTCCGCCAGAGACCCTGACAGACCTAGGGCAGCTCCGAGAAGGCAGAGGCAGAGGGGGACATATAGCCCTGGTCAGAACCTAGTCAGACTTCTGAAGGGAGAAGCCTCAGGGTCAAGGATGTGTGGGTGCTCTGAGCTCTAACAGCAAGCTGACAGGTCAGAGCCAGCCTTGAGGACTATTGGCGCCTGCTCTGTCTTCCCAGAACCGAGGGGCAAGGGCCTCCATGGATTCCCAGGATGCAACCTGGGGACAGCCTGGGCTACAGAGTCTGCCCCATTTCCTCAGCCTAGAGAAAGGGCATTCCTTAAGACCACACAGTGGGTGGGTGGGAGGAGGGGCCCCAGGAGGGTGAGGGCAGTAACCTCGGGAGACGCTGCGAGGCTTTTCTGTGTGAACACCTCCAAGCCTGCGGCTGCTCCAGACTCAGCTCCCCAGTCCAGCGGAGAGGGGTCCTGGGTCCTGTGGGGCTGCAGGGGAGGCCCAGGGCCAGGGAGAGGGCAAGGAGAGAGACAGGAAGAGAGGGAGACAGAAAGAAGGAGAGACACACACACAATTGGTAAGCTGCCCAGCTGTGTCAGTCCTTTTGGTTCGGGCACCACTTGGGATGCCTGCAGCGAGTCACTGGGTTCAGAACCCAACCCCACTTCTGCTGCTGTGCACTCCAGGAGGAATCTGGTGATGGCTCAAGTGCTTGAGTCCCTGCCATGCACATGGGAATCCCGGCAGAGTTCCTGGCTCCTGGCTTCAGTCCGGCCCAGCCTGTGCTGCTGCGGACATTTGGGAGTGAAATTACAACATGGGTCTGGCAAATGGGAGCAGCTAAAGTTTCTGCTGCTTTCTGCTTCCTGCCCCCCTGCCCCCGCAAGGCAACCAATGAGGAAGCCATGAGGAATTCTGGATGACACACCTAGCAGGAGGTCTCCCACAGAGCCCTGTGGCTGTCTGATCAGATGCAGTTTTTCACTCAGACCTCCCAGCAACTGTGGGGAGTGGCCACTTCCGCCCCTGTCCCCCAATCTCCCCCTTTACGGAGGCTTAGAGGTGCACCCAAGGATCTGGTTGAGACCCTGTCAGTGACCCCACCTCACACCCTAAGTAAGCTAGTTCAAGGGGGTCCAGGGCTCCGAGGTGAGATCCTGAGCCATCATTCTCTCCTTGGGATGGAGGTCCTAGCAATCCCAGCTGTTACCAGCAGATGGGGCACACCCTCCAGCTAGGCCACGCTGTGACAGGGCTTGAACTCCAGACCCTGGCTCACCAGAGCTCAGCCTCCCCTTCTGACCCTTCCAGCACTCCTGGCCAGGCAGTAGTCGAACTCTCTCATGATTGACTAGAGCTCATCCTATCGCTAAGTGATCTAGGTCAAGCCTATCTCTAGGGCAGAAATAGAAGAGGGTACTAGTCCTGAATCACTAGACCAGCTGATGGGGGCCCAGTCTAGGCACCTGACTGTACCAAGATGACCACACAAGCCCTCAGGAGATGCAGAGGTTAGGCCCTCCTGTAGCCAGCCCTGCAGGTCCCCCAAATACCCATACTCCCATGATCCACAGCCAGGGTGCTACCCTGGGAGCCCTCCTGGGTCAATGCCTCTCTAGGCCTGGGTCCTCTGCTCTCCAGTAAGTTGCAGCCCTGGAAAGACCCAATCTAGGCTGATGCTTGGCTGATCATATCACAGAGGCATTGCCGATGTTTAAGGCGTCGGAGGGGAGTGGACATACACAGTGGCCTCTGCACCTGACCTGTACACAATTCGGGTTTGCTCTGAGGAAAACACAATGACCCAGGACATGAGGAGAGTGGCTCCTGGCCCTGCTCTCTCAGCCCTGATGCTGACCGGGTCCTGCCTCTGTCCATCTGTTGGAAGATCCTGAACCAGGTGTTCCCCCAGGAGCCCCAACTTGGATGCGAAGTTTTAGCCTCTGTGACTAAGATATTAAGGAACAGAAAGGAGTCGGCAGATAGTGCAGCCGCAGGCATTACAGCTCCAACTCCAGCCCTGGCAGCGTATGACTAGATCACGATTGGATTTAAGACCCGTAACAGCTCTGGTAAAAAAAAAAACAAACAAAAAAAAAACACCCCCAAGTGTAAAGCGGGGTGAATATTGCTGAGACGTAGCAAGTGCTAAAAATAATAGCTTGGTATTACAAATACGGGAATTCCCTCATTCCTGTCTTCATCTTTTTTTCAGCTGAGAAAACACTCCAGACTCTCCACTCCACAAGGCAGGTCTTATGGGATCCTTTTCTGAGACCTTGGCAGCAGGGCTGGTTTGTGTGGAGACCCCAGGCCATGGGCATCTTTCCAGGAGGAACTGTCCTTCTGTCTGAGTCTGCACTGCAGGCCTAGAGTCTTCTTGCTAGGATGGAGCCAGGAAGATTGAGAGGTTTGGGTGCATGAGAACTGCCCAAAGCACCTGTTCAAATTGCTGACTCCAGAGCCTCCCTCCAAAAACCTGACTCAGTAGGAACCCAGCAACTCTTGACACATACCTATTGCCCAACCCATTTGAATGGACAGGGAGGGTGGAACCCACCAAGCCACTGTGGGTCTCTGGAAGTGTTCATACTTCCGGGCAAATCCTGAGGCCTGGGATTCCAAGGTTTAATGAGTTTGTCTCCCTCAGCCTGACCTACCAGCACCTAAGGCAGCAAAGGGTGAAACACGGGAGTGTGAAAGATGAGCATCAATCTGAACAGGCAACAGTCCTCACACCTCTCTGCCTGAGGCCCCTGTGCAGAGGTTGGGGTGAGACCTACCTCATTGGCTTTCTCAGGGGTGCCCTTGGGGGAGGGAGAGGCAGGCGAGGAAGGCAGCCTGCGCTCGCGCTCCCAGTCCCGGTCCCGATGGATCAGCTTGCTGTTGGGCTCCTTCAGCGTCCTCTTGAGCTCATTGATGCTGGCCTGATGCTTCAGCAGCACATCCTCCGGCTTGTCGAGGAACTGCGGGTGACGCACAGGGCAGGGAGTCAAAGGGATGGCTCCCAGCGCGGGATGCAAAGTGCAGGGATGGCAGTGGTGGCGGCAGCATCAGCAATCTCTACCAAGGCTGTGCTTTTCACTCAGTCCCTGCTTCCCCTGACAGCCCTGGGAGCTGAGAGCACCATGACCGTCAGCCCCAACAGGTGTGCACACCAAGACACTGAGACCATTTATGCTGCCTCTGCAACTTCCCTGCCTGGTCCCATGGCCTCTGAATGTCAGTTCTATTCACATGCCAAGGGTCTCAGCAGGTTCCTTTGGGAGCTATTCCTAACTATGCATGGAGGAGGTGCCTTCCCTATGGTTACAAGCCAGGCACAAGATACAGCCTCTGCTGGAGTGAGCCCTCATTGGTCCTGGCCACTGGTCCACACTGCCTCACTGGCTGGTCTCCAGTGTCACTCCTGGATCTCCACCTCTCCCTTCAACCTGTGACCTAACCACTACTGGACTGGGCAGGGGACTAATCCCAGTCCCTTTTAGCATAACACATGCCAACTGCTCAGACCCTATGGAGGTTTAGGGTTCAGATTTTCCCAAAGCCAAGGTTGTCCCCCAAAGCAAAAAAAAAAAAAAAAAAAAGTCAGGGAGGAGAGCTCTGCTCTCTCACTAGGGGCCAGGGACCAGGAAAAGACTGCACTCAGTTTTCTATTTTGAGTCACTCCTGTCCCTGTAAACCAGGGTCTTCGAGCCACCAAGCAGACAGGATGCCCGTGTGGGGTGGGTGTATGCAACACTAAGCACAGGAACAAAGCTGTGAGCTCACTCAGGCTCCTCCCAGGAGGGAGTGAATGGGCTGGCAGCCCAGAAGCTGCTGCCTACAAGGGTGCTGGGATTCATGCTGGCTTCATTCAGGACAGAAAGAGACCATCCTGACTTATTCAAGTCAGATCAGGTGACTCTGCAAACAACAAACTCCTCCTTCCCTACCCCCTAGACAAAGCTAGCATCTTCTCCTGAGCTCATCTCTGGCATCCCAGGGTCCAGCACAGAGGACGCCTCCTTGGCCCCCAGCGGGGACACAGCCCACTGAGACCTCTGCTTCCCTGTGGACAAACACCTGCACCCTGGGCCTCTCTGACCGCCTCAGATGCCCACAGGACACTGTCCTGGCAGTTAGAGCTGATGGAGACTATATGGGGGCTGGGCTTGAGCTGTGATGGCTGTCCACAAATCCCAACCTGTGGCCTGGGATCTGCCATCTTAATCCTGAAACCACTGGCTCAATCTCTGGCCTTTTCCTCAGTTACCCAAAGGGCAAGCCTATGGTCAAGACAGGGAGACTACACGAAAGGGGAGGAAAGGCAGTGAACACAGGTGGACTAAGTTTCCAGGGACAATGAACAGGAAGAAGATGTGACGCAGCTGGAGTAACTGCAACCCCATCTGAACAGGAGGTCGCCCTCCCTGGGTCCCAGCACACACAGATGAGCCCCCAGAGCTTCACCCTCCCTCCACCCCCTTCCTACTCCCACGTCTGGTTGCCAAGAGAACGAAAAGGAACCCTGGGGTGGGAACACTGAGGAGATGGAAACATGATCATAGTGCCTCGGGGGAGGAGACAAGATGAAGGAAGGTGGAGTGGAGACAGAAGGTGAGCTAAGCGAAGACACGGAATGGCCTAGAAGGGTATCCACAATACCCTGTGGATACTGGTAGGGTAGTCAGCAGGTGAGAAGCAGGTTTGGATTGCCAGGTGGTCTGCCAGAGGCAGAGGGTGAGGCTGGCAGAGGATGGCAGGGATGGGGCAGGAGGGAGGGCTGGGGAAATGATGGGAGGGGGCGCTGGTCAGGAAGCAGGGACAAAGCTGAAGCTGAGATGATGGTGCTTGTGATGGGCTGAAGACAGTGACAGATGAGCTAGGGGCTTGAATGGCTAGGTAGGGAGGGATGGGTCCCATGCAGTACCTCCTGCTTGTGTCTTGGCGTGGTTTCCTGCTCCGGCTAGCGGGGACAGAGGAAGGAAAAGGAACCAGCAGTGTCAGTAGAGCCGAGGGATTAGAGCCACCATGACCGACCGGCCTGGGCCAGCACACCCAATCAAGCAGCAGAGCCCAGGTATGGGGTGGAGGGAGGAGCTGGTGGCTACCAGCAGGGCCATGAGGGAGCCGAGAGAGGTGTGGGGAGGGAGGTAGGGGGCTACCCCAGGAAGGCCAAGAATGGGCCAGGGGAACCAGAGGCCAAGTATGCGGGGAGTCTCACGCTTCTTGCTGCAGCGGGCGTGTGCTCACAGGCGGAACTGCATGATGAGAAGAAAGGCTCAACTCTAGCAAGAGGAAGCCATGACAGCTGGCCTGTGTGTGCACATATGCCCATTTGTGCATGTCGCTGCACATATATATGCATGAGGGTGAGGGAGTTGAGGGGCAAACACTGTGAGTGAATGCTCGTGAGGCTGGGGGAGCTGCAGGAGTCAAGGACCCCAGGCTCTGAAAGGAGCTAAGGGCAGCAGGAAGGGAACACCTGATGATGCTTTTGGGAGAGAGGGGGTGACTCAGACCACAGCCACAGCCACAGGGACAAGTCAGGACTGAAGATGCAGAGCCCGGGACTCTCCAGGGATGAGAGTGGGCTCCTGGGAAAGCCAGGCAGAGAGGGGGACAGGTACAGCATAGGCAGCACTATCACCCCCACGCACCCCCATTTCACAAGGTCCGGGGTCTTGAATATGGCCCAGGGGGAGCTTGACCACAACTAGGGGCAGGCCAAGGCTAGCTTGACCTCTGAGAGGTCTCCTGACCCCTAGGGCAGAGGGGGAGAAAGCCTAGCACCTACCTTCAGCTCTTTGATCTTGGTGGGGGTCCTGACCTCTCCCTCCTCAGTCTCCGACCGTCGCCCTCCGGACTCGCCATCCTCCTCCCGCTTGTTGCCATCAGGCCCCATGTCGTGGTTCTCACTGACCGAGGCTGGACGCGAGAACTCCGCTGCAGTGGGAAGATGTGGTCACATGAGCGGGTAAGACTTGGTGCTGAGCACAGACAGAGAGCCAGCCCAGCTGCTGCCAGCTGGCATGGGGCTGGCTCTAGCATACAATGACCCACTACCCAGAGGAGTCCAGGGGCCTACCCTAGGCCAGCCAGAGACAGGCAGCTGAGCTCAGCCCAGGGTCAGTCCTGCCCTCCATAGCATGAGAGCCTGGGTTTAGTGCTCAAATCGATCTCTTGACTGTGTAATCTTGGGGTGGAGAGTTACACAATCTCTACTTGGGCCTTGGTTTCTAGGCCCATAAGCAGTGTCTGCCTCAGGGAGCCGAGGCGAGGAACAGACATAGAGAGAGTGGCTGGCACAGAGCGAGCCTCCAGGTGACAACGGGCTCAGAAACCTGCGGCAGCACACACACACTTGACCACTGTTTTTGTGACACATAGGCATTAGGAGTTTGGCTTTTACAGTGAGACTGGGCACCCTGAAATTCACAAGTGTCTTGCCTTCTTTATAAATTAGGGAGAGTTTGGGGCAATTCATGTAATAACACCTTTCTCACTCACTGGCACTTTTCTGAGTAGGAAAGAACAGGGTGGAATTACACACCTGCCACGAGGCAATGGATATAACCCCTCTATGTCTGTAGATTGTACCTTGGTAGAAAAAAAGGGGTTGTAGAACACAATAAAATAGAATAAAATAAAATGATAGAAAGCAAAAAAAAAAAAAAAAAACCCCAACAACAAAACACAGAGGTGGAGTGCAAGAAGGGGAGGGAACACCATAACACCATGGCACAGCAGATTAAGCCGTTGCTTGGCACCCCTGCACCCCACATCCAGGTGTCTGGCATGACATCTGGCCTCCACCTGCAATCGAGCTTCCTGTGGATGCATACCCTGGGAGGTGGCTGAGGATGGTTCAGATGCTTAGATCACTGCCACCCATGTGGGAGACCCACATGGAGCTCTGCGCTCCTGGCTTCCGTGTGACCCAACCTTGGTATGGTAATCAGAAGCGACTGGGGAGGGAGTAGATGATGGCAGGGCCCTCCTTTCCTATGCTTGGCCCTGCATCTACCTATGGAGCTCAAGGAGCTTCTTCAGCCCCAAACAGAACTTGGCAGAGCTACACCTCTTTAAGAATGAATGGGGGGCCCCTGAATGAGTTACACTTTCACCCTCCGGGAAAATGCCCCGAATCTGAGGAGCAAGCATTTCATCCAGCAGTTAAGATGCCCAGGTGGCACAGCAGAGTGCCTGGGCCTGACTCCTGGCTCTAGTTCCTGTCAATGCAGACGCTGAGAAGCAGCAGCAATGACTCAAGTGAAGTGGCTTCTTACCCACATGGGAGACCTGGAATACATTTCTGGCTCCTAGCTCCAACCTCAACCCAGCTCAGCCCTGACCACTGTAGCCATTTGAAGGCTATGTCAAGGCATTGGGAGCTTTGTGCATGTGCAAATCAAATAGAAATTTTAAAATATCACCTGGTGAGGGCCCAGGGCAGTAGCCTAGTGGCTAAAGTCCTCGCCTTGCATGTGCCAAGATCCAACATGGGCACTGGTTCTATTCCCAGTGGCCCCACTTCCCTTCCAGCTCCCTGCTTCTGGCCTGGGAAAGCAGTAGAGGACAGCCTAAACCCTGCACCCACGTGGGAGACCTGGAATAAGCTCCTGGCTCCTGGCTTCAGACTGGCTCAGCTCCAGCTGTTGTGGTCAGTTTGAGAGTGAACCAGTGGATGGAAGATCTTCCTGTCTCTCTTCCTCTCTGTATCCCTGGCTTTCCAATAAAAAATAAAGTTTTAAACAATAATAAAAAATAAATATCACCTGGTGAGCTCTGGGTATCCTTCAAAACCTTGGCTGACTGCTTCCTCTGATGAGTGTGAGAGCTAGGACTTGGTGTGGACCACACTGGGCAGGGCTACAACCCCTACCAATTTGCATGTGAGCTGGGTTAGGGGAACAGCTCAGCTAGGCTAAGTGACTATGCATGAGCCAGAGAAAGTGCAGGCTTGTTGGGCTTTGCTGCAGCATCAGCTGGTAAGTGTGGGACTAGGGACAAGTCCTGTCAAGCTAGATTGCAAGATCCAGGACTGTGAGTGAGCCTAGTAGGGAAACTGTGGGCACCTCTCTGACAGGCTTAGCTCCCACCAATGAGCATGAGAACCAGTGCTGGGTGTGGACCCAGCTGGACAGGAGGTAGCACCCATTGGCATAAGTGGGCTGGATAGTGGGGTTGTTGGGCTGAGCTGGGCTATAGCACCCATTGGTGTGTACAAAAGCCAAATGGGATGGTGGACAGGCTGGACCAGTCTTTTGTACACACTGACATGTTCAGGAACTAGGCTGAGGGCAGGCCTGGTAGAGTCATTGGGGGTCGCTCCCACTAGGCTATAGTTACTGATGGTGTGCATAAAGGCTGAGTGTGTGACATGCAGGGTCATGCTGGGCCACAGCATTCATTGATTTGCATATGAGATGTGGCTGAGGACAGAACTGACCAGGTGACTGCAGCTACCACTGTGTGTGTTAGGCTGATATGGGTGATGGACTGGACAGGACCTCACACTGGCTGGCACATACAGGAGTTAGGTCTGGGGTTACCTCTGGTGATGTTTCTTCATGGACCCTTCCAACTAGACTATTGGACTCAAAACTTTGACCATGGTGAAAATCACAATATCTGTGGTCTGACCATGGAACATATGTATTGGAACTGGGCCTCCGTGGTTGCTAAAGCCTTTGCAGTGACTGGCATGCCCTGATGAACATGAGAGATGTGAAAGCTCATTGAGAACATGGCAGAGGAAGAAAGGCAGAACAAATTGAACAATTCTCCAAGCTTTGACAGAAAGTATCTGGGCAAGTGGAGACTGTAAGGTGGACTGTCATCCAATGGACCTTGGAAAGATTTCCTCAACCTTGGAGCGATAAAACCAATGGCATCTCAGAAGTATTGAAGCCACTTAAGCAGCATCTTCAGAACCTGCTCCACATCAGGGATCCTAGGATGCCATCAGGTGGCTGTCCCCCATCCCCTGATGTGGTTAGGCTGCTGAGAATAGACCCTCTCCTTGTCTCTCCCTCTACTTTCCCCAGACACAGGGGGAAAACTCCACCCTAATCAGTGTTCCACAGGGACATACATTCTTCTCAACTATGTAAACATATCCATATTCCAAAACTCTGGCTGGTGGTCAAAGCCCTTTCTGTACCTCCTATGCAGAATTCATGCACCTCTCCCCAGGGCTGCTCTATATTCTGTAAAAGCTTCACATATGACTTGAACTACACTGCATGCTGGCAAGTCCACTCTTCTGTGAGCTCCTCAGAGGAAAAGGTCAATGCTCTGTCTAAACTCTAGACCCAGGACCTAACAGAACCCAGAAAATCCAGCAGAACTAACTTGCCTGGAGGTCTGCTAACATGTTCCAGAAGTATCCACTGTTCACCCTATCTAAATCTGAACCTCCCACTCTACAAACCTAGATGTGATAACAATGCATTCAGCTCACCACAGCCTGACTGCACTATGGATGGTTCTGGGTCCTTCCCAGGCACTTTCTTGTTTAGTTCTCCCTGCAGCATAGCAAAGTAGGGCACTATTCATTTTGGAGAAGGAGGAATAGGTTCAGGGGAGTTAAAGGAGTCTCCCAAGGTCACCCATTCACATATTCCTGGGAGCAGGGAACAGCTGATAAATGTTAAGTCCGGAATTCGAACTTTCATCCAAAGCACCTCATGTGACTTTGGAAGGTCACCTACATACTCCAATGTGCACACTCTGGGCAGAGTCCTGGTACCTGAGGAGTGTGGAGTTAGTAGATCTGGGGCACAGCCCGGGAAATGTCCATGCAGCACAAACTCACAGGGGAGTCTGATACACGTGTGGCCTGTGGACCATTTTTGAGAAGCTCTGGTATGACAGACACTGGACAATGTGAGGCTCATTCTCACTGGTGGTAAGGGTGTCTGTCATCCCTGACAGTTATGGGGGCCACAGCCAGACAGAGCCAGCCAGCCATTGAGGGAATGACCAGGAGTATTGCAGCCATATGATTCTCGTGGGGTGCCAATAACCTGGAGATTGCTCAACAGCCCAAGCATGGGGCCCAAAAATTCATATGGCTGAGTCAAGGGCAGCAAATGGCCATGACCAAGGGAAGGCATGGGAAATCTAGAGACAGGAAGTGTCACATCCCTGAAGGAAGTGAGCTGTGGGCTGGAGCTAAGCCACCAAAAGCAGTCACGACCAGTGCAAGTGAATCTGCCATGTGTCTTCCACCTCTGCTCATTCTGCAGGCTCTCTAAAGATCCGGTTCTTCCCCTCACCTCCTGCTTAAGGAGGGCCTCACCTCCGTCGAGGCTGCGGGACATGGTGTACCGCTTGCTGGAAGAACGCTCAAAGAAGGGTGCTGGCCGGTCGATGAGGGCGCTTGCCTGGCGGGTCTGGGCCTGGGTCCTCCCACTATACCGGAACTTGGAGCCCATCACCAGGAATCCTTTGGGTGGGGGCTCAGGAGACACCAGCCTGTAGTATTGGGGGTAAGGCATGGGAGGTTAGACCCGCATTGTCAGACCTCAGGGTCGAGCACAGTCCCCCATCCCCCAATTACAACACCTCAAATTGGTCTGACATGGGTGAGGAGGGAAAGGAGATTTTCCTGGAATCTCCACCAGCTCCACTCAACTGCTGTCCCTCCTCACGCATGGCCTCTGCCCATTCCCTGCCCCACCCTCTGGGGTTCATGCTTACCGGAAGAACGTGTGGTGCTCGATGCACACCTTCCACAGTCTCTTGGCTGACCGGTGGTTTGGGAGCTTAAAACCAATCGTGCTCTCAAATTGCTCGTACTGGAAAGTGAAAAAGACAGGGCCCAGGTCCTTTTGTTACTCCCAGGCCCAGGCCCCACTCCTGCCACCAGTCCCTCCTGTTTGAACCATTTCTCAGGCAGGCATAGCTCTGACAGAAGTCACTCATTCCATGACCTAACTGACTGGGTCCTTCCTTGGTCACAGTCAGGATGAACGCTACAGCCACTGTAGAGACCATGACAGAAGATACTAGGGGTACAGGGTGAGGGATAAGAGATATCAAGGAAGCAAGACACGTACAGGCATGGATGAGGGTGTCTAAGCAGTAAGGGGATATGTGCGGTGGGAGGGACCAAGGGGCAGCATGGGGCAGGGGCCACCTTAGGATGGTCTGGGCTGCTCTCTAGAGAGGACATCTTTGAGCTGAAGGACAGGGAGGAACCAGCCACATGAGAAGTAAGGGTGAGGGAGGCTTCCAGGGAGAGGGAGCATCCAAAGCCAAGAGCTCATGGCAAGAGGAACTTAACTAATTTGGGGACCCCCAAGAAGGTTGGGTATGTTTGTGGGCATGGGGCAGTGTGGGAAGAGACAGCTGGGAGGGGCAGGATGGTCAAGCAAGGAATGTGGACTTCCTCCGAAGGGCTCAGGAGAGTTCATGGCAAGCAAGGGAGGTGGGTTGGGGATGCAGATGACACAATCTGGCCTTGCTAGGACAACGTCCTGGAGTGACATGGGTGGCAAGGAGACAGGTAGGAGATAGTGGCTGCTGTGGTTGGTGCAGGGGAGAAGGGAGAGGAAGAGAAGCAGGTGGTTCCCACTTATCCTAGAGGTAGAACCAAATGGACCCTTAGGTGGGTGTGAAGTCTGCAGGAAGAGAGGTAGATGTGCATACTTGTGTACATGTGTGTGACACTGTGCAGGGGTCATATGTCTGTGGACCTCAACAAGTGCATCCTTGAGTATTCCCTGTAGGCAAAGCCACGCCCACAGACATGTAATGATCTCCCTGTGTCACCTGAGGGGCTTTTTTTCATTTATGCTTGTATGTGTGTGTATGTGTATGCACATGCTTGTGCTCTGTTGTGAACCCCAAGCTCCCCAACCATGCCTTCTAGGTAGGGGAAAAACCCCAGTCCCAGCTGCCACAGTCCACTTCAATGTGGTCAGTTCTGGTGACGAGGAGGTATCCCAGGGCAGGCTCACCTCCCCAGGTCGGATCTTGATATAGAAGTTACTCCTTTTGTATGAGATCTTGAGAATCTTGGGCCAGGCAAAGCGGTTGATTCTCAGCCGGTCCCGGTAGATGAGAAGGCCGTTAGCACAGACTCCTAACATGATGTCGATGCCCTCAGAGTCCTGCGTAAGAGGAGCCACAGAAGAGAAGGTCTTGGGTCCATACCAGGGGACTGCTTGTCCTCCAACCCCAAACCCTCTTCCTGAGCTCTGCTTGTAAGGGAGCACTGAGGACCAGGGCTGCTGGAGTGTCCATACTGGAGTCCCACTGACCAAACTCTTACACAGCCACTCATTCATTCATCTATTACTGAGTCACTCACTCATGTGATCATTTGTTCTGTCAATCACTCCATCATCCACCAGCCCAGAATACCTTCAGTGGTATCTATGAGTACCAGGCCTCATTGTACCTACTAGAGATATAGAAAAAATTAAGACCTGGGTCTTTCCCTCCCATAGTTCCAGCCCTGTAATGACATATACAAGTTCATGAAGAACTCATGATAAGGACCGTGGAAACATAAAAACTGTGAAACCTGAAGAACAGGAAATAAGGACAGACCATCTGCTCGTCTGCTGAGCCAGAGTTCACAGAGTCTGGTACTCCCTGCCCACAGCCAGACCCTCTAGGTTCAACAGGGGGTACCACCAGTGGTGCAGGGACTTCCAGGGCCCAGGGTACCTTGGCATGGTGCAGATCTACCCCATACATGGACAGCTTCTTGGCGTTCTCCAGAAAGTGAATTTCTGCTTCTCCCGGGGTCATGCCCCTGCAGGGAAGAAAGGGGTCACAGGTGGTGTGGGAAAGCCCAGGCCTGAGTCCTGGCAGCCGAAAATAGCCATGTGGAACCCATGACTCAGGGCAGGGGAGCTTGGGGGCAAATCTCCATGCGGTCTATCCTCTGCATCCTCAAGGGAGAGGGAAGTCCTCCTCACAACATATTCAAGGCCAGGGCTGAGCTTGACTTCTGCCTCCCTGTGCTGCTGAGCTGCTGTGACCTGTAAATTCTGATGTTCCTAGGCTAGGAAACTACCGCTGAAGATAGCCTTTGTGACAATCACCTGGGCAGTCTGAAATGATTCCCCATGTCAAACCATCCCCCCAGATTTTAGCATCAGAAGATACTTAATTTCCCCTGAGGAACAGGAACACATCCTCCTCTCTGCAAAGAAGAATTACTCAATGAATCCAGATCCTTCCTGGCTGTGGCTGATGGGAACTCTGGGTTCCCTTGCACATCCCTGGTCACGGCCAACATGAACTGAGAATGTGCAAATTAGTGCTCCATTTTGTCTCACACTCATCAGCTAGCGGGTGTCTCACAACTGTGTAAGGCACACAGTATCAATATTACCCCCATTTCACAGATGGGGAAACAGGCACAGAGAGGCACGGTGACTTGCTGAAGGGCACATAAGAATCAGACTCTGACTCCAGAGTTTGTGCTCCAAACAGCTTCACGCCACCTTTGGGTCTTGGGCTCCCCTGCCCTGTCTATACCTCTGAGCTGCTGATGGGCACCTGAACACCACCACCATGGCTCAATGGATTTTAAGTTCAAAGACAGTCATTGTTTTTTTCTCTAGTCCATGAGATCTCAACAGCTTTTTAAAAATTGTTCTGACCCTTTGTAAACCCCTGAGACATCTTTCTGTCTGGGGCAACCACTCCCTACTCCTGCACCCACCTATAGGGTATTTAGCACAACATCATAACAGGCCCTACTAGCCAGTGGAGCACTTGGCACGTCTTGTAGAAGCAGCACATGCCATCTTCAACCTACTGCTCCTCACACCCCAGCAGGGTCCTCCCCATCCTTGTGATCCTCTACACAAGGTATCGCAGGACCTTGGTTCTGCCAAGGGCCACGTGGAAGACACTTGTAGGTCACCATACAAAATTATCAACCTCAGAACAGCTTGTTATAGATTTATTGAATTTTGAGTTCTACTTCTGGTTCCCTAGGCAGGACTAGACCAGATGGTTTTTGGGGTGCCTTATGTGGCCTACTGGAAGGGTCACGAGGGGAGGCAGTTTGCTTTCACTGTGACTCGGGGGCATGTGGCACCTGCCTGAGACCCAAGAATGCTAAAAACATGCTTGATGAATTGTCCTGTCCTAATAGCAGGAGCTGAGAAATTCTGATAAGCTATGTCTGGGAAGAACAGGGACAAGGCAGGGCCCAAGGCCACCCTACAACCTGCCCACTGCTGGATTATCTTCTAATTACCTCCTGAAACAAGAGGTTTCCCACTGCATGATCCACTACTCAACCTCGCAACTTGCAAACAGCAACTCCAACAGTCAATGTGCTGTGTGTCTCCACCACATGCCTGGTGGTCCCCTGACAGCCCTCCAAGATGGGTGACACAGGAGCCACAGGGAATAGAAGAGGAGACCCAGGCATGGGAAGTGAAGTGACCTGCTCTCAAAATCTGGTAAGAAAGTGGCAGAGTCACAAGACAAGTCCGAGCTGGTTCACTTTTGCGACCTCACCTTTGAACTTTACGCTTAAATCTGCCCATTGGGCCACTTGCTAGAGACAACGGTCATTATAACCTCTGAATGGCAGATACTCACTTTCTAGGGCCAAGGAATGAGAGAGGGTTGCACTCCTACAGGAACTAAAGGTTATGCAGTCACTGTCACTCCTGTGTTACACGGATGATTTGCACTGGGATGGATTCCATGATAGAGGAAGAGCCTGGTGGGGGCTAGGAGCCTCCCGCCCACAAGCAAGGCTTGAGCTGACTGCTGAGAAGCTGTGGCAGGCCCAGGGGTAGGACCCTCTTACCTGTAGGTCTTGTGCAGTTCCATGATTCTCTCCTCCAGCTCCCGGGTCTGGTTAGGGGCAAAGCGTAGCTCACTGACATAGTTGCCCACATGCTCCTCAGCATCATAGTCACCCAGTTCAGCCTGCACAGCATAGGAGCCCAGCAACGCATGTGTGACAAAGGAGCAAGGCAGCCGGCCGGTGATGATGTCTGCCCGCAGCTGCAGACACAGGTAGTACCTGGAGATGGGGAGAGTGGGCGTGGGATTGTGCCCTACGTGGCCTTGAGGCCAGTTGGGCAGGTTGGAAGCGGGTGGACCAGCCTGTGGCTCCACCGGGAGAGGATATCCTCAGATGCTGGCATTTCACGGTTTAGGAATTTGGGTGTGTCTTATGTGATGCTCTTAGAAATGGCATTTAACGTCTTGGTAATTCTGTGTAACATTTTACATGACTTTCCGGGTTTCTGTTCATTTCTAAATCTGTCGGGTGTTTTTCCTACTCTTAAGAACAATTTTTAATTTCATTTTCTTAACTACATTGAACTGTTTTGCTGACTTGGCTGATTAAAATAAAATGTCATGTGCTGTGGGTATTCGGCCTGGTGATTAAGCTGCTGGTTAGGACAGATGTGACCTACATCACATTGCCCGGGTCCCAGTCCCAGATCTATTCCTAACTCTAGCTTCCTGTTAATGTGTACCTGGGAGGCAGCCACGATGACTCAAGTGCAGGCCAAGGTTCCTGCTACCCACATAGAAGATCTGGATTGAATTCCTCACTCTTGTCTTTGACCTTAGCTAGGGATCGCTGGGGTATTCAGGTAACAGATGAGAACTCTGGCGTGTCTGCCCCTCAAAAAATAAAACAATTAAATGATGGCAAGAACTAAAGTTGCATTTGAAAAAATCATGCAGTTTTGAGTCTATAGCTAATATATTCATATTGTGGAAAAGTGATGTCCATCCTCACCCTGACCCCTGTCCCCCCGCAAAAAACTCCGCAGTCCCCAGTTGTCAGTGAACTCTCCTGGACACAGATCCTCTGAGGATACACAGAATGCAAGTGGTTTGGGCTTATGAGTGCTTTTAACGTGTGAATGGCATCAAATGCTACGTCTGATTCTACAACTTGCTTTGGCATACCCAACTGTGGCCCTTAGAGCCACTCTCCTGTCGAGACACAGCCTTCTTCCTCAATGTGTTCTAACTTCCGCACCAACTCTGCAGGCCAGATGGACCTGCTCATGAATGCTTTCCCCAAAATTCCTATTTTTGCTTTCAACTCTTAAGTGAATTGTCTAAAAACAAATGAGTTTAAAGGAACATTTCCAATCACCAAGCCCTGATTTTTTAAAAATAATTTTCACGTACACATCAGTGGTTTTACAATTTTTCAGGACCATTTAAAACCATTTTGTATGGTCTTTCCAGTTATTGTTTATTAAACACACACATGCGCGCACGCACACACACACACACAACGTTTCACTTCATTTTCAGCTAGTGATGCTTTCCTGCCTGTCTTGGCTATGTCTTTCCACTTTTAAATTGCTTATTTCTTTTCCTTTACCAGTGCTTTCTCCTTAGAATAGTCTTCACTGCTCCATGCCACTCTCTGGCGGGGAGAACTGAAGGCCCATCCGAGGCAACGTGCAGCCTCAGTGTGCACGTGGGGCTGAGGCTTGACTGGACTGACAGACATCTCGCTCAAACGTCTGAACCTTCAGAATTCGCTGCCAAGCACCCTGAACGATCTTTTGGTTCAATCAATTTGTCATTTTGACCAGTCTATTTTGGGCCTACCTATTCTTGGCTAAAGCAGCTGTCTCCTGAGGACATGTGTGCTGGGCAGGGCTCACTTCTCTCCTGGATGCCCGATGTGGAACTCTGACATCAGGGAGAGGTGGTATCAGTGGACAGGACCGGAGAGATTGGAGTTGAGCACTCCGTGTGGAATTCTTGGCCTGCATCGGAATGGCCTTGGGACTCTGTTGCTGCTCCTACCTGGTCCCAGGCTGACCTCAGGGCTCCCAGCAGGGAGCTTCAGCTCTGGAAACATCTATCTTACCTCTTAAGGCCAGATTAAGCATCTTGATTTTGTTTTGTTGCCTGGCTGGCAGGCAGCCAACAGTGAAAAAAGAGAAGTTGGCTTAGTCACTCTCCCCTGTTACAAGGAGGAGTCTGGGTCCCGTCTTATCAGGACATCATGACTGACACCGCCCCCTGGGAAGGATCTGCCTCAGTTTCCAGAGACAGCAGGAGCCCCAATCCCCTCCAGCCTTGAAGTCATGCAGGAGACCGCACACATGATTCATTTTACCTTGGCAGCCTAGACACCCACAGGGAGCCCAGGGGTGGCCACAGGCATCACTGGATCTCCATGTGCCTGATGCACACACAGAGTGGCATCTGGGTCCTAACTCCCACCTACCTCTGCACTTCCCCCCCAAGTCTCTGGCCAGTACCCTGGACTTCACATAAGGGCGATCTGTCCCAACCAGAGATGGCCTACAAGGTCTTTCAGAATGTCTGCTGTAGTTGCCGCCATTTATGAAGCACAGTTTTCTCTAGCTCCACTTCCCCTCCAGACTAGGTCGCCATGGGGCGGTGGCTGGCGCAGCTAGACAGTATCTGCATTCTATGGTATCTATCCTCTTAGATTCATAGCAGGGAGACCTCCAAATACCTCCCTCCCTGATGTCTCCCATGGTAGCTCCTCTTCCAGAGGTCAGCCACGGGATCCACTGTGCTGCGTCTCTGTCCTTCTTGGCATTGTCTGCCTCCTTGGTTGTCGCAGTCGGCCTGACTTCCTTAGGCATCTGCCTTGTGATGGTTGCCATATGCTGCCTGTGTCTCCCAAGTGCCCCTTCCTTTCGCAGCGCTCACCTTGTGATGTCTTCTGTCAGCTGTGCAGGGTCAGGGGGATAGAACTTGACGGTGAAGGCAAAATTCCAGGGGCTGCCTGAGGGGAAGAGGAGGGAAAAGTCAGAGAGGCGCCACGGTCAGCTCCACCATCAGGGGGCACAGTCTGTGGGTTGTCTTCCTGGCTCTCTGACCTTAGGGAAGCCCAGTAGGGGGTGGACGGGGGGTGCAAAGCATGGAATATTATGGCCACGGGACACATGAAGAAACCGGGGCCATGTTAAGAGATTTGGGATCCTGCGGCAAGAAGGGAAGCAGTAGGAAAGCAAACTGGTGTTGCACGCCAGGCATGCGGCTGCCACCTCTGTAAACTGCCTTCCCACAGCAGCTCCTGAGGGTGTCCTGTGACAGACAGGGACCCTGATGTGACAGTCCAAGGCCACCCTGTCGGAGCGCCTCCCTCTGTACCTCAATCTCTGCTACAGGACACTAATAGGAGAAGAGAAGGCCATCTAGGAAGGTCCCATGTGGGACCTGTCAGGCCCTTGCTCTGCTGCCGTGTACCACGACTCTCAGAGGGAGACGTGCCATTAGAACAAACTCTGGAAAACTCTGGCCTGTATCAGGTGGGATTCAGACAGCCACACTGGATTCAAATTGAGATCTATGGGGTCTAAAAGGCATAAAGGGGTTTTCCCAGGGCTAAACGTTAACCTGTACTGTGAGATGTGAAAATTAACACACACAAGCAGGTGCAGAGAGAGACAGAGGCTGAGACTGAAGCTGGAGCGAGCTCTGCCAGCTAAGAGAAGGGACAGGCACGTGAGAGAATGGCGGGAGGAGGAGATGAGGTCCTGGATGAAATAATGAACTCCTATGCTTTACCACTCTGGGGACACCAGGCTCTAAGCTTGGAAAAGACAAAACGAGGCAGTATGTCCCACTCAGGGCAGGGCGTGATCATGAGCTGGAGGTCATGCTGCCATCCCTCCTGGTCCCTGTGGTCATCCAGAGGAAGGGCGGGTGGCAAACATAGCCAGTCAAACAATCAGCATGTGCCGGCCACTCTGCTCGCTAACAACCTCATGTGCACATAGAGCAGTCCAGTTCTTGTGATCATCCTGAGCGCCCCTCTCCTTCTCTGGATGAGGATTAGGTCACTCTCCTGGTGTCACTCAACTAGTGGAGAACAGGGGTTCAAACTTGGCCCACCTGTCACCAGAACCCAGGTTCCTGAGCACAACGATCACTTGGTAAAAGCAGCCTTGTGGCGGGTGAGGAGTAACAACAGTGATAAATAATAACAACGCATCCACCACTGGCTGCTGCTGTGTACAGGCCTCAGTGTCTTCACTGGGAAAGTGATGCTGAGCATGTAATAACCCATTTCATCTACACAGTCCTCAAGGTCATAGCTGTCATTATGCATGAGCAAACTGAAGCACAGAACAGTTCAATGGCCCAGGATGTAATGATGAAGCCAGGATTCAGATGCAGGTAGTTTGGCTCCAGTGCCCGTCCTCTCAATGACCAAACTGGTCCAAGGGAGTGGAGAGCAACACAGCACCTCCTATGTGTTGGCCAGTGTCCACTCGTATGTTTTGTGACTGTGGGCCACTCAGCAGACAGGAGTCACTAACCCATCACCCAGGAGGGGGGTGCTGTCAGGTTCCCCAGAGATGGAGAACTCTGCCCAGGTGCCCTTGGTGGTGGACACTGAGGTTTAGGTAGAGACATCTGCAATCTGAAGCACAAGGCGCAAGGGCTCATGACATCACTTTCAGAAAGCTAGGTGCTGCTACAGACACAAGGAAGGGGGTAAAAGTTTCCTCCAGGGATGGCAAGATCAAGATGGACAGCAGAAGTGACAGGGGTGGGCACAGAGTCTGTGGCTCCACTGGAAGAGGCACCTGCTAAGGGTCAAGGCCATTCCTTGATAACCTGAGATGAATACAGGATGAACCATCCCAGGGCCGGGGCTCTGCGGGCAGGGGTTGTATAGACAGGGTCTGTAGATGGGCGGGGGGTGGGGGGCAGGTTCAGAAGGGAGGCTGAAGTCTGCTGGTCTGTCTGCTGCCTCTTTCCTAGATTCTTGGTCCTCACTCAACATCCCCATGCGGTTGCCAAAATGTATCCTGATGCCCACAGGTTAAGGTATCCTAGCTGGACTGGGGCTCTTGGGCCTGCAGGCACATTCTCTCCCTATTTGCCTGCCTCTTTGTCTCCAAGTGACAGGAGCCTGCGGGAAGGATTCCTCGAGCCCCCTCCTGCAGAGTCAGCTGGCATCCCTGGGCCCAGCTGCCTGCTGTCATGGCAACAGGCTCAGCTACAGCTTTCCAGCCAGAGGACCAGGGAGTCCAAAAAGACCAACCATAGCCAAGGGGAGGGGCACTGGGCAGAGGCATCACAGGCTGCCTGGCCAAGGCCACCAACCTCCTCTTGCTGCCATCTGAACACCGCCCCGTCCCTCCCTACAGGTCTTTCTTCTCCAGGCCAGAAAGGACAGGCTGTCAGCCTTCTTGCCTGCCTTCTCCCCAGGCCTGGAAAAAAGCACAGGATGGCAGCGGAAGGCAGGGCTCAAAGCCACTTGGCTGATACCTGGCTTTGCATCCTGGAGCAACTAACACTCTTTCTGGGCCTAGAGGAAATGGCACTTGCCCTGGACCAGGGATGTCTAATCTGGGTCACCTCTGTCCTATGCCTGGAGGACTCACAACCTGACTGCACATCCACCCCTTCTGCTGACTTGCTGCTCTTCTCAGATTCATCTCCCAGAAAACAGTGGTCCCTGTTCATTCCAAGCCTCTGTCTTTCCCCCCATGGGTGCTGCCTATGGGCACTCTGCACGGGCGGGGGGGGGGGGGGAGCACAAGGCCTGAGTCCCGCCCAGCCTCCCAGTACATGCCCAGCCTCTGTCAGCCACTCACTCCGGATCTGCTTCTTGATTTCCTTGGAGGGGTCCAGCCAGTTCTGCAAGGGAAGGCAGAATTCTTTAGAGGGAAGGTGGAAGGGAGGCTTGGCGAAGGGTGCTGGGGAGGACAGGAGAAAAAGGCCCAAAGTAGCTGGAAGTACTACTACTGCTGAGTTTTCTGGACTTTCTTCCTGAGGCCTGGGCACGAGACCCAGTGTCCTGAGGTTGGCATTGCCTATTGGCAGCCATGGGGTTTTAGAGTTACAGCTATAGCAGGCATGACCAGGGGGAGGGGAAGAGACAAGCTAGGGTAGCAACATCTGAGGGTGGAAGGAAATGTTGGGGGAAGATGCTCAGCCGCTCCTGGTGGATCAGGAAGCCACACCGTGGATCTACCAGGAAAGGACTGAGGGCAGGGGGTCGAGAAAAAGAACCCAGGGTACATAGGATAGGCTAAACCTTGGGACTTGCCCACAGAAGACATCTAAGGAAGGAACCAGGGGATGTGGTCAGGCTTGTGGGGACTTAAGGGACAAAGCGTCCCATGGGCCTGCCCACCCAAGGTACCTTCTGGCTGTCAGCATCACAGAAGGTCAGGCCAAAGTAGTCCTTCTCCAGGAGGTTGAGGTGCTCACAGACCAGGTCGAACAGCACCTGGCCCCGGCCATGTTTCTGAGGAGGAAGGTAGAGCTGCTGTGAGGCCAGGTATAGGTGGGTTCTGTTCAGACAGCCCCACCACGCCAAGAGCCTTCTATGCCAACACAGGACATTGGCACTCCTGCCTGTCCATCTGATCCACTCCTCTCCACCTCCCGAGTCCCGAGTGAGTTCAGGGCTGATGCCAGCACCCACCTCCATAGGGCCCTTCCTCTGAGTCCTGCAGGGGTCTTTCTATACCTGGAACTTGCTGAGAAAAAGTGGTCATGGGAGAACGGGGGGAGGCATATTTCTCAGGCCCAGAGTGATCCCTCAGTCCTGGCTTCCCCTGTACTTTTCCCTATGTCTGTGAACTCAGGAGCCAGTGTAGCTTGGAGTGCCACCTCCTACCAGGGCAGTGGGTAAGGTCTCAAAGAGGCCTTATCTGATGGCAGTCTTGCCAAGCCTGCACTGGGTGCCAGCCCTGGGCCTCATCTAACCACAGCAACCCTTTCTAGCCTTTGGTACTACCATCTGTACTGAGGAGGGTTGGATGCTATAGTTGGTCTAAGTCTCCTCTGGCTTGGCCCTGGCCCAGGTCTAACATGTGAGGCAGCCTACACTGCCCTGGGACCAGCTGAGTGGCAACAGAGCACAGGTTATTCCCCTACCTCGACCTCACACTCATAATCAGAGGCATCAAGTAGAGTGACTCGGCACGTGGCGCTCTTATACTTCTTGGCAATCTTCTGGGGTGATTTCTGGGCCTTGCTGGGCGTGGTCCTCTCTGACAGGCCATCGGCCTCACTGTAGTCCTTCTCCTCCATGTCTAGGTTCTGTAGGTCCAAGCAAGGGAAGGGTTGGGTCAGTGAACCTGAAACCAGTCACCAAGCAGAGTCTCTAGCTGATGTGTGCATATAGGATTCATGGGGTAGAAGTGGGTCTAGCTGCTGACTCCACATTCTCCCTGTCCTAGGCAGCCTCTGCAGGTGCAAGTCCCTCAGCACCAGACCCAGGGGTCAGTGCTGTCCTGTCTCCCTGGAGCACTGTGGGGGTCACTGGGGTGTTCATCTGGGCTTCTCCTTCCCATCTGCCACTGAGTCAGGCACAGAGCTGGGAGCGAAGACTGCTCAACGAACGCAGGGAGGGGGTGGGGAAGAAAGGAAAGCTAGGGCCCTGCCCTGCCTCCCCCTGATTTCCTCAAGGGCTTTGCCCCCTCTTTGCCTTCTCTACACTTCTCTGAAGAGAGGGAGGTGTAAGCTGGATGGCTGGCCCAATCCCCCAAGTCTCTTGGGTGTTGAGTTTTGATCAAGGTCACACTGGGCTTTCCCCACTAAAATAAAAAGGCTCCGGGGCCAGGAAGATGAAGTTGCAAAAACAGTTTTCAAAACCAGGTCTAGACATGACTCCCACTCTGTCACCATTGTTATGGCAACGTGACTCTGTGCCTTAATTTCCCCAAGTGTAAAACAGGAGCATTCACAGCCCTGCTCCCAGGTTTAGAAGAATTAAACACATGAGCAGCCATAGTGCCCTCTGCACAGTGCTAAGCATGCAAGGGGCCATCAACAAACCTTAATTTCCTGCTTTCTTTTCTTCTGACAAAGCATTGAGACCCTGGAGAACTGGCTGGTTGCAAAAAAGAGACACTTCCCTCTCTGCCCACACCGCATCCCCCACCTTGGGCACACACCTGTTCCGCAGGCCGAGCGTCCTGCTGGGGCGAAGGCTTTTCATTGGAGTTGGCCTCTGGGTGGCCGTGGCCTGCGGGGGTCACAGGGGTAGTTGCAGCAGCAGCGGCCTCAGGCTGCTGCGGGGCCTCCTCTTGAGCCTTCTTCACCTCAGAATCGGGGCCTGTCTCTGTTGTCATGGTGACCAGCACGCCTGCGTTGGCATGAAGGAGAGCATGTGACAGGGACACGATGGTGCGGCAGAGCGAGGGGGCAGGAACCACATGCAGAGAGAGACAGATGGAGACAAGTGGACAAAGGGCCATGGACAGCAGGAAGGTGGTGGGGCTGGATCATGAGAAGTGGGCAGGGACTAGCAGGGGCAGTCGAGGTTATGGCCTCTATCCACCATATGTCTAGTTCCTCAGCAACCCAGATTTATCGGTCCAGATCTCAAGTCTGGGCCCTTCCCAGACACAATGAGGGTATCTCCAGGGAGCTCTCCCCACCATGGCCAGGAGCACAGGGCAGTGATCTGTGTCTCGCACAACACCTGGGAGGTTAGCCCTCAGGCAAGGCTAATGCATAGAACCTGAGCAAGCTTGGGCCCAGGCTCCCCTGGTTAAGGGTCTGCAGAGCCTCTGGATGCTCCACCTCAGCCCTCCCAGTCCCTCCACCCCAAGCTTCACTTGGCAGCTGGGTCATCAGGACTGCTCCAAAGGGACAGGAAGATATAGTCCTCCTGATCCTGCCAGGCCCTGGGTCTGCTTCAGAACTGGTGGTCACTTCATCTCACTGGGATTTGGCCAAAAAGTGAAGGACTCGGGAGAGTTATCTCTGGCACTTAGCATTTTCCCCTTGGAGAAATTAGACAAGATTTCAGAGAAAGTCAAGGGCTTGTTGACCAGTATTGTATTGGAGGAAGCCATTTACAGAGAAAGAGAAAGAGAGAGAAAGAGAGAGTTTTGTATTGTTTTTATATGTAAAAAATAAAGTAGTTGGAGCTGGAACAGGAGGTGAAGCTGTGGTGTCAGCATCCTATATGAGCACTGGTTTGAGTCCCGGCTACTCTAATTCCTATCCAGCTCCCTGCTAATGCACCTGGGAAAGCAGCAAAGACTGGGTGCTTAGATCCACGTGGGAGACCCAGATGAAGTTCCTGCCTCCTGGCCCAGCCCTGGCTGTTGCAGCTGTTTGGGGAGTGAATCAGTGGATGGAAAATCTTCCTCTCCTTCTCTCTAACTCTGCCTTTCAAATCAATAAAATATATCTTTTTAAAAAAGAGAGATAGTAACTTCAACAATGGAATTTTGTGGTTTCTAGCTATTGAGTAAAAGACCTGAAAGGACACTCACCAAACAGCTGCAGGAAGTGATAACCCAGGAAGGAGAGGAAAGAGACAGATGGAAAGAGGGTGGGATAAGAGAAGAAACTGCTTTTTACTGGACATGCTTTGGAACTACATGTGTCTTTTCACACACACACACACACACACACACACACACACACACACTCACACTCACACATACATTTAAACTGCACAAGTGCATATTTAAAATAACAACAACTACAGGAGTTCAAATGACTCATCTATCACCTACAAGCAGTGCCAGGATCCCATATGGGAGCCAGTTCATATCCTGGCTGCTCCACTTCCCATCCAGCTCCCTGCTTCTGGCCTGGGAAAACAGTCAAGGACCACCCAAAGCCTTGGGACCCTGCATCAGTGTGGGAGACCTGGAAGAAGCTTCTGGCTCCTGGTTTTGAATTGGCTCAGCTCTTGGTCATCATGGCCAATTAGGGAGTGACCCAGCATATGGAACATCGCTCCATCTCTCCTCTCTATATGTCTGCCTTTCCCCTAAAAATAAATAAAGCACCCATTTCCAAGCCTAGTCAGTGGATCCTCAAAACAAAATTTGAGGGGTGGGAGATAAAACCAGAGGAACAGAGACATGGGCAGGAATTCAACATTAATCTAGAAATCTGTCACGCAATTCAAATAGACATCTTCTTTATTGCTTAAAACAAACCAAACCAAACACAAACACAGACGAACAGCATGACCTTCACAAGTGCTGGTATCCCCAGGCACTCCTGCACCTCAGTCTTGAGCCTTCCCTGGTCCCGTTGCCCTGGGAATGATGGGGAGTGCACTCTTGCCTAGATATCCCAGAATTCCTCTGGCCAGGGTCCCTAGGGAGCCTGCTGGCAGGGAACACTACCAGGAGAGGAGAGGAGAGGGCTTCAGAGAGAATGAGTCCACTCCTTTCAGGAAGGAGAGTCTTGAGCGACAGCCACTTCCGAAGATGTGGCTCCCCAGGCTCCCCTGCCCCACACTCCAGATCCTAACTCTAGGTTCCTTTTCTCTCTCCTGCACTTCCCTGCCTCCAGCAAACCCCTCAGGGAAGCAAACACAGGCGCTGGCTGCAAGCCCCAGATGTGTCGGGAGCCACTGACTGTGAAGACGCTCCTCCTCTAAGGCGGAAGGACAGGATCTACAAGAGCTTGATAAAGCAGCAGCTCATGCACAGGACCTTGCTGTAGTTATCAGTTACACAGACACTCCTCACTTTGCAAGGGCTTGTCCTACAAGCTTGTGACTTCACAGGTGCGGAAGCACACCCTTACAAACATGCTGGCTTTTCACTTTTAGTACCTTATTCAGTAGAGGATGTGAGATAGCCAATGCCTTATATAAGGTTGGGCTTATGTGGATGACTTCATTCAGCTCTAGACTTGCAAATGTTCTGAGCAAGTTTAAGGCAGGCCAGGCTAAGGTGCGACATTTGGTAGGGCAGGTGAATGAAATATTTTGGATTTATGATATTTCCAACAAATCAGGAGGTAACCCCATTTTTTTCTTTTTAGAAAAAGATGGGACTTGTTTGAAAGGCAGAATTTATTGGGGTTGGGAAAGAGAAAGAGAGACTCTTCCATCCATTGGTTCACTTCCCAAATGGCTGGAAAAGACAGGACAGAGTCAGGCTAAAGCCAGGAGCCTAGAACTCCATTAGGGTCTCCCACATGGGCGACAAGGGCCCAAGTACTTTGTCTTCTTCCACTGCCTTTCCAGGTGCACTAACAGGGAGCTGGACCAGAATTGAAACAACCAGGACTTGAACTGATGCTTATAGGAGCTGCCAGGTCTGCTACAATGGGGTATAATCCCATTTCTGCACATGTGTATAGAAAGCTCAAAAAACTATTAACTATGGTTATTTCTGCATGGCAACAGTACAGATTATTTTTTTTTCTGTTTAACTATAGTACTTGTTTTTTTTTTTTTTAACAATACTTAGAGAATCCTTGAATGATTTTCTTAAATTAGAGGATAAAAAATAAATTTCTCTGATGCTCATAACTTGGCATGGCAGCATAAAAAAGAAATGAAGCCTGTTTAGATGTTTCCAAAAAAAGATTTGTTTAGTTGAAAAGCACAGTTCTAGAAACAGAGTGACAGAGAGAACTCTTCCATTTACTGGCTCACTCTCAATGTGGCCGTAACCGCCAGGGCTGAGCAGGCCAAAACCAGAAAGCAGAAGCTTCATTCAGATCTTTCACGTGGATGGAAGGGGCCTGAGTACTTTCACCATCTTCTGCTGTTTTTCTAAAGTTGTCAGCAGGGAGCTAGATCGGAAGTAAAGCAGCTTAGGCTCAAATTGGTGCCCATATGGGATGCCAACATTGCAGGCAGCAGCTTTAGCCACTACACCAGCTGGATCTGCTGCTAAACTTTTACAAAGCTTATGAATTAAAAAAGAAAAATGCCCCTTAATCCCCTACTGATGCCATGGCATAGCAGGCTAAGCTTATACCTGTGGCACCGTCAGCCCATATGGGCACCAGTTAACATCCTAGTTGCTTCATTCCCAACCCAGTTCCCTGCTTATGACCTAGGAAAAAGCAGTGAAGGATAGCCCAAAGCCTTGGACCCCTACACCCACATGGGAGACCTGGAAAAAGCTCATGGTTTTGAATTGGCTCAGCTCCTGCTGTGGTAGCCATTTGAAGAGAGAATCAGCAGATGGAACATCTTTCTCTGTCTTTCCTCTCTCTAATTCTTCCCTTCAAATAATAATAAAACATATCTTTTTTTTAAAAGTACATATAAAATAGAATTTGTTTATATAAAAAAAAGTAAATAGATAAATGGGGGAAGCCAGCATTGTGGCACAGAAGGTTAAGCCCCTGTTGGCAATGCAGGCATCTCATATGGGAGTTCTGATTCAAGTCTGGCAGCTCTGTTTCTGACCCAGGTTCTTGCTAATGCACCTGGGAAGGTAGAAGAAGATGGTAAAGAACTTGGGCCCTGCCATTCACCAGGGAGGCCTGGATGGAGTTCCTGGCTTCAGCCTAGCTCAGCAGCCTCTGCCATTTCAACCAGCTGGAGAGTGAATCAGTTGAGGGAAGAGCTCTCTTTCTTCCTTCCTCTGTCTCTCCCTCCCTTTCTCTCTATCACTCTGCCTTTCAGATAAACAGAAAGTCTTTCTTAACAACAACAATAACAACAACAAAAAATGGGGCCCAGCACAATAGTGTAGTGGTTAAAGTCCTCGCCTTGCATGATGGGATCCCGTACGGTCTCCGGTTCTAATCCCGGCGGCCCTGCTTCAAATCCAACTCCCTGCTTGTGGCCTGGGAAAGCAACTGAGGATGGCCCAAAGCCTTTTTAGGACCCTGCACCCGTTGTGGGAGACCCAGAAGAGCTCCTAGCTTTGCATTGGCTCAGCTCCAGCTGTTGCGGTTACTTGGGGAGTGAACCATCGGAAGGAAGATCTTCCTCTCTGTCTCTCCTCCTCTCTGTATATCTACTTTTCAATAAAAATAAAAATAAATCTTTAAAAAAAAAATGAAGGGCAGCATTGAGGTACAATGAGTCAAGCTGCTGCTTGCAACCTCAGTTTCCCATAACAGCTCTCCCTTGGCTCAAGTGCTCCTGCTCAGCTTCTGACCCAGCGTACCGCTAACATGCTTGGGAAGGCAGTAGAAGATGATTCAAGTGCTTGGGCCCCTGTCACCAGCACGGGAGACCAAGGATGGAGTCCCTGGCTCCCACCTTCAGCCTGGCCCACTCTTGCCTGTTGTAGCCACTTAGGGAGTAAATCAGTGGATGGAATATCTGTGTGCATCTACGTATGTGTATGTGAGATGGGGTAGGGTGGGGTGCATTTCCCTCTCTGTTCTCTCTTTCACATTCCCTTTAGGATAA